CTGACCAGCGCAGAGTCCTGGATTCGAACACCAAAGTAAAACAAAAATACTCATTTCAAGTCAACTTGAAATTTTGTATGTATTTCTCTCACATCAGAGAATTTGTAATGCTCATTTACAGCCAGTCTTTGGCATCTTCATTCGGATTCCTCATTTATTACTTACAGTGTTACCTGAAACCTAACCCTGGTCCCTTGGAAATCTAACCTGAATGGCTCACTTTGTGAAAGGGTTCCCTAAGGGGCCCAGCCCCCAGTGATCCTGGTGTGAATGGACTTACAAGCGCAGTGAGGTTGTTCCAGAGTAGAAAATCTAACCTCCGGTATCTGGTGGAGCTGGTTATAATCTCACAGAACCAAAAAGAAGGTGGGAGGAGGGGAATGTGTATTTGTATATCAGTTACACTTGAGAGGGACCGTTGTCCATATAGATGAGGAATAAGGTTTTAAATTTTCTAGTTCTTGGGGCTGGGAAGGTGGCTCAGTGGTAGAGCACTTGCCTTGCATGCCTGAGACCCTGGGTTCGATTCCTCAGCACTACATAAGCAAAAAGAAAAAAGCTGGAAGTGGCGCTGTGGCTCAAGTGGTAGAGCACTAGTCTTGAGCTGAAGAGCTGAGGGGCAGCGCCCAGGCCCAGAGTTCAGGCCCCAACTATTGAACCCCCCCCCCCAAAAAAAAAGTTTCTAGTTCTTATTTTTTTCTTTAATATCTTGGAGATCACATCAGCAATATGATAACTATAGGTCAGGATTCTTTTGGGGGGGGGGGGCTTGAACTAGGCTTGGGTGCTGTTCCTGCACTCTTCAGCTCAAGGCGAGCACTCTACCACTTGCGCCACAGCGCCATGTCCATTTTTCTAGTGGTTTGTTGGAGATAAGAATCTCACAGACTTTCCTGCCCTGGCAGGCTTTGAACCACAATCCTCAGATCTCAGCCTCCAGAGTAGCTAGGATTACAGGCGTGAGCCACTGGCACTCGGCTAGATCAGGATTCTTATAAGTAGGAATCAACTATTGCTTTCTAACTCACAGAATGTTATCTTTCTGGGGCTGGGAATTTGGCTCAGTGGTAGACCTTGCCTAGCATGCATGAAGCCCTCGGTTCAATTCCTCAGCACCACATACATAGAAAAGGCTGGAAGTAGTGCTGTGGCTCAAGTGGTAGAGTGCTAGCATTTGAGCAGAGTCAAGCCTCAGGACTGGCCAAAAAAAACTTGAGGCTGGGAAGGTGGCTCAGTGGTTGAGTGCTTTCCTTGAATGCATGAGGGCCTGGGTTCGATTTCTCCGCACCACATAAGCAGAAAAAGCCGGAAGTAGCGCTGTGGCTCTAGTGGTAGAGCACTAGTCTTGAGCTGAAGAGCTGAGGGACGGTGCCCAGGCCCAGAGTTTAGGCCCCATGACCACCACCACCAACAAAAGTAATATAAGCAGGGCGTCAGTGGTTCACGCACAGGCGTGAGCCACTGGTGCTCAGCTTACTTTTGGTTTGTTTTTTTGTTTTTGTTTTTTTTGAAACTGGAGATAAGAGTCTCATGGGCACTTTCCTGCCCTGGCTGGCTTTAAAATATGATCCTCAGATCTCAGCCTCCTGAGTAACTAGGATTATAGCCACTAGCACCAGGCTTTGTGAAATAGTGTCTTACTATGTTGCTCAGGCTAGTTGTAAAGAGTTCAGACTTTCTTTCAGCTTCAGACTGCATTGTACCTGAAATTACAAGTACACACCACGCAAGTAAACCACCAAGCAAGAGAGTGAGTCTAGAGTTCAAGCCCCAGCACCAGCGCAGAGGGAAAGGGTGGGGAGCTCAGCCAGGACACACTAGGCAAACACTCCACCACTGATCCCCAGTGCCCCCCCACCCCCCCCAGTCATGGGGCTTCTTGAACTCAGGGACTGAGAATTATCCCTGAGCTTTTTTTTTGGGCCCGGTCATGGGGCCTGAACTCTGGGTCTGGGCACTGTCCCTCAGCTCTTCAGTTCAAGGCTAGCGCTCTACCACTTGAGCCACAGCGCCACTTCCGGCTTTTTTCTTTTTGCTTATGTGGTACTGAGGAATCGAACCCAGGGCCTCATGCATGCAAGGCAAGTGCTCTACCACTGAGCCACCTTCCCAGCCCCTGGCATTGTTTTTCTAGAGATGTAAATCATGCATACAAATAAAATAACTCAGTGGGAAAAAGTTACTTGTAAATTTTTATTCATAAATAGGATTGAAGGTATATCTCAAATGGTAGAGCAGCAGGCCAAAGTAACCCCCCCCACGCACACACAAATTATAGTATTATAGTTATTCCAGAAATAAAAAAGACAAAGAATTGTTTTAAACAACCTAGCACCAATAAGTTTAGACCAGTTAGATGTCTTGGGTCAACCCTTAGAAAGTATGTGCTGCTCTTCTCGGTCTCTGGATCTGTCTCTTCTACCGAACTATGAACACGTTTTGGGGGAGCATCCTGGATCTGACTAGGCCACACATACTTTCATGTGGCTGCAGTTGGGACTTGAAGGGAAGATGGAACAGAGTGAGGTTAGTGAAGCATGTCATGGAAGAAGAGATGAGTATCACTGAGAACAGAGGTGCCTTAAAATCGTGAGTGGGAGCAAAGCCAAGTGAGCCCAGGAATAGCCCAGATGAGCCTGCATCCAGCCGAGCTGTGAGGCCAAGGTGCCTCATTTGTCTTTGGTGTCAGGGTCCTCTGTACCGGAGAAGGATTCAGACTAAGAACTGTGTTAAATAGCCCTGTAGTGAGATGAGACAATACTGGAAAAAGAAGCCTGCTCCTAGCCTTGCCCTGAGCCTCCGACGCTTCCTAGACCCTTCCCCAACTCCCTCCTGGAAGCCTTGAGGGGGTGGCCGGGTCGTGGTGGCCTCCTCTGGCTCCCTTTACCCTTCACATGGCCTGTGTGCTGCCCTGAGAGCACCAGCCTAACAAGGGTGCCTGGGGTGTGCCCAGGCTGGGAGCTCCTCTGCCTGGATGAGCAAGACCACCAGAAACGTCAGGCCCGTTCTTGACATTGTTTCCCTCTGTGTCACTCACCAGATGTGTCATGCTTCCTCCAAGTCAGAGGCCAGATGCACCCCCAACTCGGATGATGAAGCATGGTTTGTTGGGGAATTTGAATCATTCATGGTCACGGAGCTGGGAAAATGTGAGCCTCAGGCAGATGTAAGAGCTCCTGGCTCTGCTGACCTGGTCCTTACTTCCAAACTGCTGTTCCTCCCCTTTTCAGACACAAGGTGGCGCTACCCTACTCCAGAGCACAGGCCCACCCACAGTGAGTGAGACACAGCCTCCTTAAAAGTCATGTACCAAAAGTACATGATGCCTCAGGAGTCCGAGATCCCAAGCATTGAGAGTCAAGGCCAGCATAGGCAGGAAAGTCTGTGAGACTTCAGCTCCAGAATAACCAGCAAAAGCCAGGTGCTGACGCTCATGCTATGTAATCCTAGCTACTTGGGAGGCTGAGATCCCAGGGTCATGATTCAAAGCCAGCCCAGGCAGGAAGGTCTATGAGACTCTTAACTGCCACAAAAAGCCAGAAATGGAGGTGTAGTTCAAGTGCAAGTCTGAGCTAAAAGGCTAGAGGATAGCACCTAGTTTCTGTGTTTAAGCTCCAGTACTGGCACAAAAATAAACAGTAAAAAGCCTGGTTGGGGTGTAGTTCAAGTGGTATACTACAAGCCTAGCAAGCAAGAGGCCCTGAATTTAATCCCTAGTATGTGGTCAATCAATCAATCTGCCAGGATGTGGGGGAAAGTAAAGAGCAGACCATTAAGGCCTGGAATGTTGCCCTGGGTCTTACTCAGGTTGGGCAGGTCAAAGCTTCCTCATAGTGGGTCCTAACCTGAGGGTAGTCCATGGTTCCCAGCGCATCTGACTTAGGGAGAGATTGTTCTTCCACAAATTGGAAAGCTGGGCTCAGGCGAGCCTCCTACTCAGAAGTCTGCCCACTGTCCTTGGTGTCGGCCTGCTTGTTGTCAGGTACCCTTGGGCCTTGGAAGAAGCTATCTGGCCAGCCAGGGTTGACATGTGAAGAACTGCTGGTACCCTTCGTCCATTCTCCCCGTGCTTGCCAGATGGCTGCAGAAAACAGCATGTTGAGGTAGAGCAGACAATGTCTTGGAAGTGTGGTTTTGATTTCTTTTTCTTTGCCCTTTTTCGTTCCAGTGAAGATTGTGATCCGGGGGGACAGAAACACAGGCAAGACTGCGCTGTGGCACCGGCTGCAGGGCAAGAAGTTCCTGGAGGAGTACATCCCCACTCAAGAGATCCAGGTCACCAGCATCCACTGGAACTACAAGAGTAAGTGGAGGGGAAGGCACGCAGCACTACAGCATGGCCTGGGGGCACGTGCAGTACAGCGCCCCAACCTCCTCACCCTCCCAGCACTCACACGGTGCCCAGACCCTCTAGCACAGTTCAGCCCTGCCTGCCCCTCTACCCTCCTTCCCTCCCTCACGGGTCCTAGGAGGTGCTTTCCCCAGACTGAGCAAACAGTGGCTGTCACTGTGGGAGTCCCTAGGTGAGCTCAGAGCTATTTGGGGACCATTCATTCATAGAAGCTGCTTTTGAATCACCCCAGTTCATAGATTTAGATCCATGAAGTTCCCTTTCAGTGTTGAAGCCACAGCTGTGGTTGAACAAGAGAGGAAATATCTTCAAACACTACAGTTTCTAGACACCTCTGGGGGTGTTGCCTGCCGACACTGACAGCACATCGAGAGACACTGAGCCCCACTTCTGTTCAGCCCACCGTCCATGTTCTAGGGCTTCCACTGTCCTCTAAGGCCTCTCTGCTCCCACTTACCTAGGGAGAGAGGCGAGATCACAAGAACTCAGAAACTGGTCCCCTTTCTCATGAGGCAAGTAAGAGGGCCCACAGCCCTGGAGAATACCATGGGACTGGCAGGATATGCAGCCCTGGAGAATACCACGGGGCTAGCAGCAAGGCACAGAGGCCACAGGATCAGTAGCAGTGGCTGCAGCCTTCCTGGGCCTGCTCTGTGTGACTAGCCCCGACCTCCTGAGTTTGCTCCTCAGCAGGATAAGGAAAGGGGCTCAGGAGGACGGGACTCAGGCAGCCTTGCTGTGTGCACGTCCGTCTGTGTGTGTCTGCCTGGGGTACCACAGCCCGCCGGGGACCCAGCAGGTATGCTCAGTGGTGGAGGCGCTGTGCAGCAGCTTGGCCCACAGGCCAGCTTTCATGTGGAGACCAGCAGGAGAAGCCCCGCCTCACTCAGTAGAAAGCTGCCAGTGAGGCCGTGGGCTACAGGGACCCAGGGAGCTGGTGTCTTGGGGAGGGGCAGCCAGCCGCATAGGGTAGGAATCCAGGAGTATATTAGCACCAACCAGAATTCTGCTTGTTTCAGCCACTGATGATGTTGTGAAAGTTGAAGTCTGGGATGTAGTGGACAAAGGTAAGGTGCCTCTTCCTTTCTCTCTTGAATGCTCTAGTCACTCTAAATAGAATCTGCCCCTTGCTTCCAGTCTTTGCTTCTCTGCCTTGAGTCCTGTGTTCACATAGGACCTACTGCACAGTCTGGGGAGGCCCAGAGATGTGGCATAGGCCCCAGCTGCCCCACAGGGGTTGGGGAACTCCCAGATTCTTAGTCCAGCCCCTGCCAGCTCTGTTCTAAGCCTGGCTGAGGTTCTGGGTCCCCAGGAACACCCAGATACTTTGTGCATCTGTTTAGTCCTGACCAGCTAACCTTGGGTGGGGTGAGGAAGCTCCCAGCCCTTGCCCACACCGGAGCCCCTCCTCCCATGCAACCACTGGTGTGACTCTCCAGGTGTCAGTCCAGCCCTGGTGATGAGCACCCCAGCCACTGGAAAATCCTGGCAGCCTGCATGAAGGGAACTTAAAATCCCAGAAGCTCACAGAGGATTGCTCACCAGATACTTACTGCACTTGGAGATGGCCTCATGCCATGACCAGAGGTTCCTCTCACAGATTCCCATCTTCACTGGCCTTGTGGTTCTTGTTAGACTTGGGGCCAGTTTGTGGCTGCCGAGCATAGCTCTTGTACTAGGAAAGCCCAGCACAAGGGAGCTCTGGTATTCTTACGGAAGGTGCAGATTCTATGCACCACCTGGACAGGAAAGTGACAAGGCATTTACAAGTCCTGCTCAGGGACACAGTGAGAAGACATCAGTCCTCCATCCCCAGTCGGGTGAAGCGGGAACAAAGAATTATGGGAGCAAGAGAGAAGGCTGAGCAAGTGCCTGAGCCTATCCCTTTTTGTGTCACTAGGAGGTTTAGTTGGTGCGTTTGGTGGGGGCCCTGCTGTCACTAAGGCTGCTGGTCTCTGCCTTCTGCGGCATGGGAGTCGGTGGGCCCTGTAGTCTCCCTCCCTGTAGTCTCTGCTCACCAAGCAGAGGAACTAAGGAGCCTTAGAACCATTGCTTCTGCCTGAGAGCAAGTGACAAAAGTTCACTACAGCACCCAGGACTCAGGCCTGTGCGCCCACAACTGAAAATCCTGCTCCTTCACTTCTGGGTAGACATCCCTCCCCCAGATACTCCGACCCCCAAAACCTGTAGCAGGCAACAGCAGGGTGTCCCAGTGTCCCCAACAGCATCTGATTCCATTCCTGTCTTCTCACATCAGGTCACAAGTTCCTCTATGATCTTTGGGTGAGAGCTCACAGCCCACCCTGCTGCTAGCATTGTGTGTGTGCGTGTGCATGTGAGTGCAAGTGTGCACGCGCGTGCACACATGCATGTGTGTGGTGCTGAGCCATATCTGGTCAGGCCAGTGTATCACCTGACCTTGCAGGCATGCTCTGAGCTGACCCGTTAAAGGGCTCACTAGGTGACGTGCCTCATGCTGTGTTCTCCACTGCGGGTTGTGCCTGCTCCTCTCTGCAGCCCACATTCAGTAGGGGTCTGTTGGGGGTGAGTTGGGAACATCAGCTGGTAAGAAAGCAGTGAGACCAACGTGGCTCAGCAATTCCAGCAGCAGGGTGCAGCTGCAGCAGGGTGCAGCTGGCAAGGCCGGCCCAGCAGGCATGCCAGCTTTGTGCTTTCATACACTTTCTCTGCACGTGGTGGGGGGTCTACTGTGTGTGTGTGTGTGTGTGTGTGTGTGTGTGTGCACAGCGTTTGGCGTGCAGCTTGCCATCAGAGGCCTTGGCACTACCCACATTGCATCCCCTTCCCGGGTCCCCACCCCTGTCCTCGTCTCTGCTGCTGTCCCTTGAGAGGCCAGGACCTGGGCGCTCAGCGACCTCCAAGCCCTGCCTCAGCTCTGTCCCAGATCTGCACCTGCTGGACCACAGTGCACTGTCCTGTGGACAGGATTTCCAGAGTGGGTCAGGACTTGGGGCTGAGTGTCATGGGGAGCCATACTCCATGTAGGAAGATCACTTGTGGATGGTGTCCTGTACCCTCAGCAGTCTATGAAGTGCCCCCTTCCAGTCTGTGTCTGGGATAGACAGGGTGTGGGTCCCCAGGGCCATCACTGCCTCCTCACACCCACCTAGTGATGTCCACCCCAACAGCCTCACTTGGCTGGACCCCAGGAGGGGTCGGTCCCCGCACAGTGTCACCTCCACACAGCCCTGTGATCCCCGTTGCTGAAACACAGAAAGATTGTTAAGGAAAGGAAAGTACCTCTGCCTTCCCCCTTCCCCCAGGATGAGGGCTGAACACAGCAGCAGGGGACCTTCAGGAGTAAGAACAGTAGAGACAGCTTGAGGCTCAAGGCCAGTGGAACAGAGGGGGCTGGACAGGCAAGACTGACAGGTTCAGATTTTGCGAAGGCAGAACTTGTGAATATGTATCGAGAAGCTTCTGGAAGGGATGGTGATAGGGAGCAGCCTCAGCAAGTTTTAATATTCTCTGGTTTCTCCCTCCTGCTGGAGAGAAGTTTGCAAGGAACTAAGTGGGCTGGAGGCCCCTACCTCTTGAAGATCAAGCTGGGCTTCGGCTCCTGTGGAGCTGGACCCCTCAATGCTCCTGCCCCACTTCCAGGCCAGTCAGAGCATGAGGGTGGCTCAGAAATGAGTTCAGGAGTGATAGAAATTGATGTCTTAAATACATGAGCCCTGGATTATTGGAGGGACTTTCCTCTTCTGCCCAGTTGGCATTCTAGGGAGGAAGGGAAAGGGAGGCAGAGTATTAGCTTGGAGGCAGAACCTGGGGCTTTCCCCTGGTCACAAGTGTAGCATGGGCTGGCCTCGATCATAACCACTAGCCAGGATGGGGTCCCCTCCCTCCTAACGCCGCTGTCTCCCCTTTGCCCTAGTGGAGCTGCATCTCACTACTACTCTACTCACCTGGACTTGGTCTGGGAACCAGGCAGTTGCGAAGGGCCCCTTTCCACCATGGCAGAACTGACCTGGCTTCAAACTGCTCTAGCCACTGAGGCCTGCGGGTCTGCCCTGCACTCCCTCCAGCCCTCAGGGCCTGGTTTTTGTTTTTTGTTTTCCTGTCTCCCAAGGCAGAGTGAACCAGCACAATCAGTGGCACTATGAGAGGCATGGGGGGGGGGGGGGCATTTCCCTAGGCAATCGCAGAATTCAGAAAGGTCGCTCCTGAGCTTCTGCTTGTCTTTTAATTAGGAAAATGCAAAAAGCGAGGAGACGGCTTGAAGACAGAAAATGACCCACAGGAGGTGAGCCACACATCATCAGGCTGGTCTGTGTCTCTCCTGGGCAGAGCTGCTTATGGTCCCTCACAAGCCTAGGCTCCTCCAGGCCTGTACAGCCCACTGCCTGTACATCCCCATCACACGAGAGACGTGGCCAGTGAGCATCCCCAGCTTTCCGTGGGATTCTGAGTGTTCTTCAGGTGCATTCCTGGTGATTGTCCCCTGTGAGAGATGTCTGCTCTGATTCACTCAGCAGGTGCTGTAGTGGACTCACCGTCAGACTGCCTTTGAATCACCTCAGCATCAAATAAGGGCCACATTCCCATCCCTCTGGCAGATGGTTGGAATCCACAAGCCCTGGGCGTTGTACCATTGATGATCTGTGGGAGGCAGCCCTCCCCTGCAGAGGCTGCCCACCCAGCACCCTAGCAGATCCATGTACCCAGCAATGTCGTTTCCTGTCTTTGCCCAAATGAGACAGATGATTGCTGTCTTTTTATTTCGTAAAGTACCATTCAAAAGCTGGCACCAGGCTGGGAAGGTGGCTCAGTGGTAGAGCGCCTGCCTTGCATGCATGAGGCCCTGGGTTCCATTCCTCAGCACCACGTGAGCAGAAAAAGCCAGAAGTGGCGCTGTGGCTCAAGTGGTAGAGCGCTCGCCTCGAGCGGAGGAGCTGAGGGACAGCGCCCAGGCCCAGAATTCAGGCCCCACGACCGGACCCCCCCCCCCCCCCCCCCCCACTAAAAAAAAAAGTACCATTCAGCTTTTTCCAGGTGACTGAGGGACCACATGGCTGGGACAGGGTCTTACACCTCTTCCCTCCTGCTCCCAGGCGGAGTCTGACATGGCCCTGGATGCGGAGTTCCTGGATGTGTACAAGAACTGTAACGGGGTGGTCATGATGTTCGACATCACCAAGCAGTGGTAAGGAGGACAGGCAGCTGGCAATGGCTGCATAGCTCTTAGCCCTGTGGGACATTATGGACCAGCCTTTGTTGGTGTGGGCCTCCTGCAGGGCTAGCATTGAGTAGTGCAGCCAAGCCCCTGCCTTAGACCCAGGCATTGTACCGTGGGCAGGATGGGCCCAAGTTGGTACCAATGCAGAGGGTAGGATGGTACTGCTGGCTCAGGCCTGTGGCAAGGGGTGGTCTTGGCAAGGTGCGCACCAAGCAGCCCCCACCCCCACCCCCGTCCTGAGACGGGGCAGAATCAAGTGACTGTAGTCTACTAGGAAGACAGCAAAGACTCACAGCGGCCATGGACCAAGAGCCAAGAGGGCGGTAGGTGGAGGTGCTAAGACTAGAGCCTCAGTGGTGCAGAGCCTCCTCTGGGGAATCCCACAGGACCCACCTAACTCCTACCCCTGAAGTGTGATATTCCAGTAGGAAATGGCACATTGCTGTCACCAGCCACGATGAAGATGCCCCTAGACACACGGCCCTGAGGTCATGCCTCCTGCACACCACTGGAAACGAGGCCTTTAAAAATGCTGAAGGAGCTGGGCGCCGATGGCTCCAATGGCTCACGCCTGTAATCCTAGCTACTCAGGAGGCTGAGATCTGAGGATTTCGGTTCAAAGCCAGCCCAGGCAGGAAAGTCTGTGAGACTCTTAATTAACCACCAGAAATCTGGAAGTGGCACTGTGGCTCAAGTGGTAGAGCATTCACCCTGAGTGAAGAGCTGAGGGACAGCGCCCAGGCCCAGAGTTGAGCCCCACAACCGATTAAAAAAAAAAAATGGGGCTGGGAAGGTGGCTCAGTGGTAGAGCGCTTGCCTTGCATGCATGAGGCCCTGGGTTCGATTCCTCAGCACCAGCAAAAAAGAAAAAAGCCAAAAGTGGTGCTGTGGCTCAAGTGGTAGAGCGCTAGCCTTGAGCTGAAGAGCTGAGGACAGAGCCCAGGTCCAGAGTTAGGTCCCATGACCGGACCAAACAAAACAAAAAAAAAAATGCTGAAGGAGGGCTTGGGATGTGGTTCAAGCAGTAGAGTATCAGCCTAACAAGCATAGCCCTTAGTTCAAGCTCTAATACTGCCCCCTTCCCCATAGAAAAGACTATGTCCTTTTACTTCATCTAGCTGAAATGTGGCTCAAGTGATGGAACACAGTCTAGCAAGCAAGTGCAAGACTGTTCAAGCCCCAGTAGCGATAAAACAAGCAAGGACGAAATGCTGAATTGATCTTTGAGGTGCTTGCATAGCTTCTACTCTGCTTTTAAAAGTTTATTATTATTATTGCATGTGTAATCCATATTCATAGAAAATTGGAAAATGCAAGGGAAGACAATCTGTCCTGTCATCAAGACCACACAGCTGATGGCTGGTGCCGCCAGATTTTCTTACAGCATTGCACAAGCACACTGGGATCTTGCTACACCTGTCTAGGTGGGCATACTGCTTTATTTTAGAACAAAGTGAGCCAGATGCTGGTGGCCCATACCTATAGTCCTAGCTACCCAGGAGGCCAAGGCCTTAAAGATCCCAGTTTGAAGCCAGCCTGAGTAGAATGGTGAGACACTTACCTTGAAGTGGCACAGTGCCAGCCATGAGCAAAAAAGCCAAGCAAGAGCCCAGGGCCCTGAGTTCCAATGCTAATAACAGCGTGTATGCGCGAGTGCGCTCGTGCACATGGAACACAATGATGTGACATGGGCAGATGTCTCGGTGTTGTAGAGGTTCACAGAATAGAATAAGCCTGGAGATGAAACTTACACTTGGCATGTGTCATCAACTCAGGTCTGAGGGATACGGACTTGGAGGCCCTCAGTGGCACAGTCTGGGTTGGTGCGGTTGTCCCCAGCCTCTGCCTGCCAATCAAAGGCCCAGACTCAGCCCACCACATGTTCAGGGTCCTCCAGGGAGTGCTAGTGGCAAGCTAGCCACAGAACATAACCCTGTGCTATGGGCCATGAGCAGCTGTTTCAGGTAGAGAGGAGAGGAACTTGCGTTTCCCCATATGGGTGGTGGTGGTCTGTTGGCCTGGTGAGTGGAGAGTAACTTCGTCCACATGAAATTGAGTGGACATTGAGGGGCCACCTCAGTTGCACTGAAGATCCTGGGGCCTTTATAGGCCTTATGGCTGCCAAGAGGACTGAGCTGGGAGAAGGCTACTGAGGGCCTGTTGGCAGGGTAGGCCCAGAGCACCAGGTGTGATCAAGATTCCAGGGCTGCAGCAACTTCTGCACATTAATGTGCCTGGACATTAATGCATTTGGTCAGGCTGGGACTGGGCAGCAGCTGATACTCTCCAGAGTCCCAGTGTTCATGGAAAGGAAGAAAATACGCTTCACATTGTGGCTGTGTCACACCAGTGAGTAGGCTTCAGGATAGCTCCTGGGTCAAGAAGATGGAGGACGCAGGCACTGATGGCTCTCACCTATAATCCTGGCTACTCAGGAGGCTGAGCTCTGAGGTTCGTGGTTCAAAGCCAGCCTGGGCAGGAAAGGCTATGAGACTCTTTATCTCCGATAAACCACTTAGAAAACATGAAATGGTGCTGTGGCTCAAGTGGTGTAGTGCTAGCCTTAAGCTGAAGAGCTGAGGGACAGCGCCCAGGCCCAGAGTTCAAGCCCCATGACAGACAAAAAAGATGGAGGAGATGCCCTCAGGAGAAGAAGCTAGAAGACAAAAGGCCTCCGCAGTTAGACAAGTGTTTTCACCACTTTCTCCATGGGGAGGGCGGGCTGCGTCACTGGTGTCTCTGTAGGCTGGGCTGACCTTGTACTTGGGCTTTGGCCTCCCTGAGCACTGGATTTGCAGATTGCATCACCACCACAGTTGGCTGTGTCTGTGCCAGCCTTTTGAGAATGTTCAGGATGACCAAACACAGAGCAAGGGCTGGCTGCCCATGGTAGGTGAGACCTGGAGAGCCGTGCCTATCTCCCCCTGCCCCCCCCCTCCCGCATGCTGTGGATCATTGCTCAGGGCAGCGCCAAGCTCACTGCCTCCAGGATACCTTGGTGTCAGGAGGACACCTCCATGATGGTGTCTACACACCAAGAGCCACTGAGCAGGACACTCTGCAAGGATCCCAGGAGATGTTTCAATCCAGTGTGGTACTGGCAGTGTGGAAAGGGGGTACTTTTGGAGGGAGTGTAACACAGGCACCCTAAAGAGAGGCAGAGAAGTGGGGCACCTGGACTTGGTACAGGCACCATGTCAACATGCCAGCGTGGCGTTACTCACTTCTCTACGCCTTGATGGTGGTGGTGATTCCTGCTCTTAGGAAGTCAGCCATCCAGCTGTGGGTGTGAGCCCAGGGCCTTGAACTTCCATACTTAAGCCACTGCTGCCACTTTCACACTGTTGTTTTCAGGATTGAATCTCACTGTTTGCTCCAACTGGCCTAGACGGTGATTCTCCTACTTGTGTTTCTCTCCTAGCTCAGACTGACAGGCACCACCACAGCACCCAGTGGAAATGGAGTCTTTGACTCCACATGTGCCTAGGCTGGCCACCAACCTTGATCCCCTTCTCCACCTCCCCAGTATCTAGAGTGAGAGGCAAAATAACTAGAGACATCACTGCGGGCTTAGCAAGTTGGACCTCAGACAGGAATGGCAGTCCCCTGGGGCCACTGGAGGCTAAGATACCCTTCCCTCCCAAGGACCTTCAACTACGTCCTCCGGGAGCTGCCCAAGGTGCCGACCCACGTTCCAGTGTGTGTGCTGGGCAACTACCGGGACATGGGTGAGCACCGAGTCATTCTGCCAGACGACGTGCGTGACTTCATCGACCACCTGGACAGGTGGGTGCTTCAGCTCTTGCGTGGGGGCCCCCATTTTGGGTGGGACGGAGAGGACAGGTGAACGTGGGCAGCCAAGGCAGAAGCCACACCTGAGTTGGGATAGAGCGGGGAGCGGTCACAGCCCCTAGTGAGCAGCTCCTAGAGATCTGAGATGCTGGGAGCCAGGGGGCCAGGAAGTCTTCGTTCCCTGTGAATGGTGGTGCTGTGAGGTGTGAGCGGAGCAGTGTGCCGGGTCAGCGGCTCCGGTCCAGCTCCGCAGGCCACCCCAGGCAGGAAGGCTGTGTTCGCTTCTCTAGAGCCTATTGGAGGAAGGGGCAAGTGGACTGGCAGCCTCAGGCCTGGGAGAGGCTGAGCCAGCTGCCCACCAGGAGCCTTCCCCTTAAATCTCTCCTGAAAACAGACCTCCAGGCTCCTCCTACTTCCGCTACGCTGAGTCTTCCATGAAGAACAGCTTCGGCCTAAAGTACCTGCATAAGTTCTTCAATATACCGTTCCTGCAGCTGCAGGTGAGCTCTCACCACACCAGGCACGAAGGCTGCTGGCACTCTTCCCTGTCTCTCTCTTCCCTGTCTCCGGAGGACAGGCCTCTCCAAGCCCTGAGAAGGTCATTTGTGACGTCTGCTTGAAAGCTGGTCACCAACAAGGATCCAGAGAACTTTGGAGGTGGCATGCAGAGCAGTCAGCAAGAGACACGTGACAGGCCCACTTCTTTGTTTTTCTGTCAGTCATGGGGCTTGAACTCTGGGCCTGGGCGCTGTCCCTCAGCTCTTCAGCTCAAGGCAAGCGCTCTACCACTTGAGCCACAGCGCCACTTCCAGCTTTTTCTGCTCAGGTGGTGATGAGGAATTGAACCCAGGGCCTCATGCATGCTAGGCAAGCACTCTACCACTGAGCCACCTTCCCAGCCCCAGGCCTACTTCTTGATAAGGAGGTCTTCCCCTGCAAGGGTGGGGCCTTGTGCTTCTGGGCTGTTGGTGGCAGCAAAGCACGTAAGATGCACAGATAGGTGTTGCCCAGTTAAACCGAGCTGCCTGTCGGGGTTGTCCAGAACATGCAGCCCCCATGGCCCTGACTCCATCCTCCAGTGCTGGCCCAGCCGGCCCGTAGCTCCTTTGTTGGACTAGATGCAGGCTGCATGATCAGGGTACCCAGCGTTCCTGATACAGACGAGGGAATAGGGCAACTTGCTAGGGTGAGGTTCTGGCCTGTGAGCAGTCATCTTGTTAGAAATTGTGGAGATGAGCCGGGCGCCGGTGGCTCACACCTGTTATCCTAGCTGCTCTGGAGGCTGAGATCTGAGGATCTCGGTTCAAAGCCAGCCCAGGCAGGAAAATCCGTGAGGCTCTTATCTCCAATAAACCTCCACAAAACCAGAAGTGGTTCTGTGGCTCAAGTGGTAGAGCGCTAGCCTTGAGCTGAAGAGCTGAGGGGCAGCACCCAGGCCCAGAGTTCAAGCCCCATGACCAACAACAACAACAAAAAAGAAACTGGAAATGTACAGTCTCTGCATCCTCGCCCATCTCCTCCCTCCCCCCCCCCCCCCCCAAGGTCTCATTTCCACGTTGTTTTCTCAAGGCCAGAGAATTAAGGTCAAGGCTCCATCCAGACCTTCTCTGTCCAGGGTCACCTCAGGAGCCTACCTCCATGAATTGTCACCCTGCCTCCTTATGGTGACTTTGTGCGTGATTTCATCTGCCCCCTACTTGGATTCAACTGACATATCCCATGAGACTGAAACTTTGGTTTGGACAGAAGACCACAAAGACAGGATAGGAGCCGTGGCATGTTCCCTGCTGTACTTCACATGAACTCTGGGCTTCAGCCACCGTGGGACAGACCATGAGAAAGATGGGACTCCATGGAGCTAAGGGCAGAGGGCTAAGACAGCTAGGGGAGCCTGGTGTGGGATTGCTAGTAGACAGGAGGAAGCTTGAACAGACTTGGGCTTTCAGCCTGCATCTGGGAACGTGTAGCCCTTCCACAGAAGGACACGGAACTTAGGAAAGCAAAGCTTTCCCTTTCCTTGTGTCTTTTTCCATTTGAGAGACATGGGGCTCACAGGGGGCTGTACTGAGGACAAGACCATGGGGTCTTAAAGTGCCCCCCACCAGGGAGGCCTCTGCTCACCTCACCATGGTGATGATGGAGCTCAGCTGTGCCACTCCATGGAGGCTTTGCTGCAGGCTTCCAAGGGAAAGGAGCAGGGTGCCAGAAAAGCCCTGGAGCTAGGACCGTCACGGCCTCCTCCTGTGGTGGATATGTGCAGAGATCAGTGCCCATGGTCTGCGTTGGCAGAGCGATTGGTATCCAGCGGCCCTCGGGTCTCTTGCCTGTTCTGGATGTTCTAGAAGGAAAGCACGATGCTCCTTAGTTTTATACAGACACCTCTAAAAACCAAGACTAGAGCTGGCCATGGTGGTACATGTCTGTCCCTGACCCCGGCAAGTGGGAGGGCAAGGCAGGACAGCAGAGGTGCAAGGCCAGCTGGTTGGTGCGGTGGGGCCTCCGCAAAGACTGCCGTGGTAAAAGGAGTGACAATCTGCTTTTAGTCTGTGCTGCTGCTGTCCTGGTTTGGGGGCTTACATTCCAGACCTGGATACCATCCCTTTTTCTACTCAAGGCTAGTGCTCTACTACTTGAACCACCACCATTTCCAGCTTTTTGGTGGTTAATTGTAGATAGGAGTCCCATGAACCCTCCTGCCCAGGCTGTTTTTTTTGTTTTTTGTTTTTTTGTCGGTCGTTGGGGCTTGAACTCTGGGCCTGGGTGCTGTCCCTCAGCTCTTCAGCTCAAGGCGAGAGCTCTACCACTTGAGCTACAGCGCCACTTCCGGTTTTCTGGTGGTTTATTGGAGATAGGAGTCTCATGGTCTCTCCTGTCCAGGCTGGCTTTGAACCGCGATCCTCAGATCTCAGCCTCCTGAGTAGCTAGGATTACAGGCGTGAGCCACCAGCGCCCGGCCCCAGGCTGGTTTTGAACCATGATCCTCAGATCTCAGCCTCCACAATAGCCAGGATTAGAGTGAGCCACTGGTACCCAGCTTTTTGTTTGTTTTTTTTTTGTCAGTCATGGGGCTTGAACTTGGGGCCTAGGGACTGTCCCTCTTTGCTCTACCACTTTGAGCCACAGTATTATATCCACTTCTGGTGGTTAATTAGAGGTAAGAATCTCACAGACTTTCCTGCTCGGGGTGGCTTTGAACCGTGATCCTTAGATCTCAGCCTCCTGAGTAGCTAGGATTACAGGTGTGAGCACTCACTGATGCCCAGCTAGTTTTTTGTTTGTTTTCACATGAGGAGTCTTCATTGAAAAGCTGGCCAATGCGGGCAGACTCCTGCCACAAAGGCCTGCAGCCCCGTGACCACACTTACCAGTCAGAAAACAGCCATGAGAGCCAGAGAGGAAAGAAAGAGCAGAAAAACAATGCCAACAACCCAGATCAGCTCTGCTTGGGGGCTGAGTGGGACGCCTGGTGACAGTAGAGCCAGGAGATGGGACCGGAGCAGACAGGAGACACGTGGATGGCACTCGTTTTGTTTTTTTTTTTTGTTTTGTTTTCTTTTGGGGGGGGGGGGGTCCGGTCGTGGGGCCTGAACTCTGGGCCTGGGCGCTGTCCCTCAGCTCTTCAGTTCAAGGCTAAGTGCTCTACCACTTGAGCCATAGCACCACTTCCGGCTTTTTTCTTTTTGCTTATATGGTGCTGAGGAATCGAACCCAGGGCCTTGAGCATGCAAGGCAAGCGCTCTACCACTGAGCCACCTTCCCAGCCCTCATTTTGTTTTTAATTGATAAAAACTATGTGTAGATGGGCACACTGTTTTGGTACATAGTGATAGGGTCCCTGGTCTCGCACGTCATTTTTCCATTTTGAGTTAGCATGTGTTAGTCATACAAGGGGTTTCATTGAGCTATCTGCATTAGTGCATACGGTGTGCCCCGTGCCCTGTCAGACGCAGCCCCTCACCACCCCACCCCCACAGATTCAGCAGGTTTCACGGTTTGTTTTTATACATTGTACACCTTAAGATTTAAAGAATTCTTCACACCAGAAGGTATTCGGTCTGTGCGCAGAATAGGGTCTAAGCTGGGTTCACGCTTTGCACTTGGTAGTTGGGACTAGCTGTCTCTTCAGATCTCATGTTTATTTCAGAAGTGAAGCTCCGCCTGCCTGTTGGCACACGCCTGCTTGTTCCCTCGGGGTCCCTGAGTCGCTCTGTGCCACGCCGTGGCTCGCTCTCTCTCACGTAAATCCCAGGTCTCTCTGATCTGTAGTTGCTGCTTTCTACCCAAACCCCAGTGTGGTTCTGTGGCCATCCCACAGCTCTGCCGAGCCCCACTTCTGCGCCAGCAGCAACTGCAGGCCCACATGGAGACCGCTTCAGTCCTCCGGCACCACCACACACCTGGCCACAGCCTCAGTGGCCTCTGTAACAGGCTGTGGCATTCGTTCTAAAACTTGAGCCTAAGCTGGGCACTGCAGGCTCACATCTGTAATTTTAACTACTCAGGAGGCTGAGATAGGAGGATTGTGGTTCAAAGCCAGCCCCAGCAGGAACATCCATGAGACTCAGCTCCAGTAAATGACCAGAAAAGCCAGAAGGCGCTGTGGCTCAAGCGGTAGAGCTCCAGCCTTGAGGAGCAAAAGAAGCTCAGGGACAGCTCCCAATCCCTGAGTTCAGTACCAGTGACCTGCAAGAGGACACCTGTTTTTTGAGTCTAAATGTAAGAAACCATATTGACTAGGAGCCGCAGTGGCAGCCTGACCCAGACTCAGATCTTCAGCCCACGCCTCGGCTGGCAGTCTTCCTCGAAGCAGCCGGGTGTTTCCAGGACTGGATGCACAAGTGGCCACGATCGGGCTTGGGCCTGGGTGCTGCCGCAGCCAGCAGTAGCGACTGAGCTACTGTCCAGACATCGGGGCTTCTCAAACTCCAGCATCTCCTTGTGACACGGAAGGGGCTGCCTTTCTAGGGATGTGTCTTCTGAGCTACCGGGTCCGTCCACTGTGGACACTCAAGCAGTTAGGCCCCACATACCTCCCTCTGCCGCGTGAGGCGTGCTGCTCATCCATGTCCTCTCCCTTTCCAGAGGGAGACCCTGCTACGGCAGCTGGAGACAAACCAGCTGGACATTGATGCCACGCTGGAGGAGTTGTCAGTACAGCAGGAGACTGAGGACCAGAACTACAGCATGTACGTGGGCGCCACCTGGGGACAGCCATGCCCCGTCTCACCCTGGCGCGCAGCGGGGGTGCTACCCCCCCCCCCCCCGCCCGTGCATCCCCACTGTGAGACGGGCAGGGGGCTCAGCACGTGCCGGTGGGAACACGTCCCCTGGGACAGCCACCATGCTGCGCCACCTGTGGAGGCTTTTTATTATTAATGTGCAGCCATTCAATCTTTAGTCAGATCGGCACTTGGATAGAGCAAGTGGCTGAAAACTACTAAGCGGAGCTATGCTGGTCCTGGGGCAGCTGTGATGGCCGGGAACACCCCGGCCAGGCCACACTCCCACTCCCCAGCACTGCGAGCCTCTGTAACGGCCTTCAGGACCACAGCATGGTGTGCAAGGACCCAGGCTTGTGAGGTGTGGACGGGCAGCTGCTGTGTGTGAGCCCTGACACCGCATCCCACAGAACAAGCCGCACGCTCCAGCCGGCTGCTGGTCCTGGTGGGTTCTGGCAGTGGCCACGCCTCCCTGTCCCTGTGGAGCCTGCGTGTCCTCGGGTCGGTGCCGGAGGAGGAGACCAGGGCCTTGGCCTCTGAGGCGGAAGGGCAGGTGCTGCCTGGCAGCTGGGCACAGAGGCTGATAGTGGGAGGCAGGCGGCGCAGCTCTCACGAGGGCGCAGGTGGCATGGGGGGCGGGTCCTCACTCCTGCCTCTGCCTGCCTTCCCTCAGCTTCCTTGAGATGATGGAGGCGCGCAGCCGCGGCCACGCTTCCCCCTTGGCAGCCAACGGGCAGAGCCCATCCTCTGGCTCTCAGTCGCCGGTCGTGCCTCCGAGTGCCATCTCCACTGGGAGCTCCAGCCCCAGCACGCCCCAGCTGCCCCTAGGCACCCCATCCGCCGGCCCCCCCGCACTGCCCACCTCCCCCGCCCCTCCCATGGAGGCCTTGCCCCCCACCGCCCCCGCCCCGAGACGCAGCCTTATCTCCCGGCTGTTTGGGACCTCACCGGCTGCAGATGGCAGCCCTTCGCCTCCAGGTGAGCCTGGGAACAACCCTTGGCAAGGTGGCCTTGTGTGGTGTGTGGCTTCCTGGCACCTTGGACCTGGTGTGTCTTGAAGGCTGGTCCTGCGGCCCGTACCCCACAGCCAGGGCGCCTGAGCCACTGTGGGCTTTGCAGTCTGTTCTGGGGGCTCCTCCCTGGGAGGTCTTGGCTAGGGAACAGAGGTGTGCTGAGGTCAGGTGCCGCGGGAGGAGAAACCAGCCTCTGCCGTCAACAGAGTCGGCCCAGGCGACGGAAGCCCTAGAGAGAGTTCAGAATGTTGAGGAGTTTGTTCCCGAAGACAGCCTTGACCGGAGCTTCCTGGAAGACGCCACCCTGCCTAGGGAGGAGAAGAAGGCAGGAGCCAAGGCCCCACAGCAGGACAGCGACAGGTAAGGACTATGCTCGGTGGGCCTCCACACCGGCCCGGTGGCCAGCACATCCAGAAGTATGATGGAGCCTCTCACCACAGAGGACAGGAGCAGAGCTATGGCTGGAGGAGCTGAAGGAAGCGCTCAGATGTGTCTCGAGGTTTGCCCAGACTCACCTCCAAGCCACTAGCCACCCTGGGACAATTGGGGTGGCTGCCTGCCAGATAGCTCTGAGTAGAGGCTGATGTCCTGGGTCCACTGGAGAGTCAGTGTCCGGACAAGCCCCCGGGGCGGGTCCTGACAGAGAAGCTCCCGGTCTCTGAGAAAACACCAGGCCTTGCTTCCTGTCCCCAGATCTGAGCAGTGAATGGGATCCCCTTCCTGGGTGCTGGCCTCTTGATGTTGACTGTCTGTCTCCCTGTCCACTGAACACTTGAGTGAGAGTAGCTGAGCTTGAGGTGGAGTCTAGGTGTCATTCCTGCCTGGCAGATGGCCTCTCAGATGGGCATCTCCAGTGTCACCATGTCCTGTGGGCTGAGATGCTGCCCTTCCAAAATGCCCTCCAGAATAACGCATGGAGGCCTTTGGGCCAGGCTCCCCTCCCCTGATCGCACCATGGCCGGCGTCAGCGCTACCCTCCATGGAGCTCCGTACTTCCCTCAGCACAGCTCCACTCCTGTGAAGAGAACCTTCCACACTAGAACGTAGTGCCAAGCAGGGCAGCGAGCCCCTGGCAGGGGCGGGAAGCTGGCAGCACAGAACCACTCTGGTGACTGCTGCCCTTCCTTTGCAGTGACGGGGAGGCCCTGGGAGGGAACCCCATGGTAGCAGGTTTCCAGGATGATGTGGACCTCGAAGACCAGCCTGGCGGCAAACCCCGGCCCTCGGCCCCTGTCCCCAGTAAGAACATCAGTCTCTCCAGCGAGGAGGAGGCGGAGGCGGCCACAGGTCACCCTGCAGGTGTTGCCCTGGCTCCCCAGCCATGTTCAGAGCCGGAAACGAAACGGTACCCAGGCAGTCTCCACACTCCTGGGCTTTCCAGGGGCGGAGGAGGGGGCAGCCTGGGGTGGCAGCAGCGAAGCCCTCAATCCCTCTGCTTGCCCTGCAGCTCCTCCGCCAAGACTGCGAAGCTGCAAAAGAAGGCAGCTCCCACACACGCAGAAGCACCGCCCCGGCCAGGCGGACGCCCTGCGCAGCCAGGGCCCGAGCTGGGCAGCACCAGACCCCCCACAGAGGGTGCCCACCGGCCCCAGGAAGGCAAGGACAAGCAGGCGTCGTCATCCGAGAGTGACCCCGAAGGACCCATTGCTGCCCAGATGCTGTCCTTCGTCATGGATGACCCTGACTTTGAGAGTGAAGAGTCGGATGCCCAGCGGAGAGGGGTAAGGACGGGCTGCTGCCAGGAGGCCTGGATGCTCTGGGTCTTAGCCAGGAAGGCTAAGGGCTCCCCAGGTGGGAGACTGAGGGGAAGGTACTGGCGTGGTGTCCCTTGGTCCGTGAGTATATAAGTCCTGCTAATGGTCCTGGCCAGCCCTGGCCAGGTGTGACAGCCCCACAGATTGCAGGATCCTCTGAGGGGAGTCCCATGGGGTGGGGAGGGACAGCGGCACTACCTCCTGCTCCCTCTCCAGGATGAGTTCCCCGTGAGAGAAGACCTCTCTGACGTGACCGATGAAGATTCAGGCCCTGCCCAGCTCCCTTTGCCCCCCAAGCCCCCCGTGCCGTCCTTCAGACTGAAGAATGACTCTGACCTCTTCGGGCTGGGCCTGGAAGAGACAGAACCCAAGGAGAGCAGTGAGGAAGGTGGGTAGGCCGGGCCCCGCTGCCCGCCCGGCCCTGCGGCCCGCGTTTCTTTTCTGTTACCGTAAAGGTGATGTACAGCGGGGTTACGGTTACGTAAGGAAGGCAGTGAGCACATGTCTTGTAACAGCGTTACCCCGTCCTCCTTTCCTTCCGCTTTCCCTATCTCCCCTCATTCTGTTTGGAAGGCCGCTTCTTCCCTTACGCTGGCTGTCGGCCCTGGCTGCCTCCAGAGCACCTTCTAGCTTTGTCCAGGACTGAGACAGCCGCACAGAATAGACTCTGGAGAAGTTTAAACTACTGCTCTCCTGTTGCTTGAGCCAGCTGTGACGTCAGCACCCAGCCTTTCAGGTGTCAAGGGCCTCAGGCCAGGACCTGCCGGAGGGCTGAGCAGCTCCAGACGCTGCCCAAATGAAGGTCCACACGAGGGGTGTGTGGCAGCTGGCTCGCTGAGCACTCGCCGTACCGTGTTGGTGGGCTGGAATGGTTTGCAGCCAGGAGTGCGTGTGGCCCCGTCCCCCAGCTCGCTGCAGCGCCCCCATCCTGGCCTGTCCCCCAGCTTGCTGCAGCGCCCCCATCCTGGCCCAGTTTCCAGCTCGCTGCAGCGCCCCCATCCTGTCCCGTCCCCCAGTCTCTTCTCTCTGACAGCAGGCTAGGGCTATGACTAGCTCTCTGCTCCAACCAGCAGCTTAACTTGGGAGTGCACCGCAGGGTCTTGGCCCAAATGGAGAGGAAGGCACTGAGGCACCTCAGCTAGAGTGCTTGGGACCCCAAGGCTCCCGTGTGACCAGGCAGGCTGGGCGTGGGGCATCTGCAGAAGCCTGTGCCTTTGTGCAAGGCATTGCAGGCAGAGCTAAGGCGTCTTTCCCATGCAGATAAGGACGGCAAACCACCTTCTAAGGAGAAGAAAAAGAAAAAGAAGAAGAGCAAAGAGGTACCAGTCCCAACCTCTCCTGCCCTGCAGGCAGGCCTGGGATCTGCCTCCTGGTGGCTCCTAGTGGTTCTGACGCCCCTCTTCATGCTCCCAGGAGGAAGAGAAGACTGCAAAGAAGAAAAGCAAACATAAGAAGAGCAAGGACAAGGAGGAGAGCAAGGAAGAGCGGAAGAGAAAAAGGAAGCCAACTCGCAGCAAGGAGCAGAAGGCCGCTGATGAGCTGGAGGCCTTCCTTGGGGGCGGGGCGCCCAGCAACCGCCACCCTGGGGGTGGGGACTATGAAGAACTCTAGGCCTGCTCCTGGCAGTTGACCAGCCTGCCCGCGGTCCTGCCACCTCCTTCCAGCCACCGTCTTTGTCCCCATGTGGCCTGATCCACTTTGCATTCACTTCCATGCTGGGCAGGACCCGAGGCCAAGCTCTGGGGGTCAGGCCCAGGGGCCGGGCACTGCGCGTGCCGGGCCTCCACCCAGCCGGAGCCTGCTCTGCAGGGAGGGAGGGGACAGCTGGGCCGCAGGTGGCCTGGTGGACCAACTGGCCCTCCAGGCAGAATGCAGCCAGTCCCCAGCGTTTCTCAGGGATGTGTCAGGCCGAGGAGGGACCCCAGAGGGTCTGTTTACAGAGATGGCGCGGGGCTGCTTGGCTTCTCAGATGTCCACCACCCAGCCCCGCACCTGCTTGCCCTCCCGAGCTGTCCCAGGGCCCAGCATGCCCACAAGGCTCTGCTTCCCACCAAGAGGCTTGGGCGGTGGAGCCCCAGCCCCAGAGCACAGGTGAGCCCTGGCTGGCCCAGGCCGGCAAGGCCCCCGCAGCAGCTCCTCTCCCACAAGGGGCTCTGTCGGTCTCGTGGGAAGAGCCAGGCTGGCCCAGGGAGGCACCTTCGCAGACACTCCACCCAGACTATAAAGCTCTTGGGTTTTACCAAGTTGTGTGTCTATTCTGTCATCCTTTCTGTCCATCCTGCCTGGGCGGGACTGACCTGCCCTCCTTTAGCCCAGGTTCCCTGCATCCGGTCCGAGAGCCTCTTCCCTGCCTATTCTGAAGGTAGGCAGCCAGCCCGGACCAAGAGCATGTGGCACGCCACACCATCTCCCTGCCCCTGGGCAGCAGGGTGTCTCCTGGGTTCCCATGCCAGCAGTGCCCCGCCCACCGCAGGCACGTTGCCATGAGAACCCTCCGGGGCGCCTGGAGCCAGCCGGGGGCGGCGTGCTGCTGTGCTGCCTGCTGGTTGTGGCCGGAGCCAACTCCAGAACGTTCAGCGTTCACCTCAGATGGGGGAAGGGGGTCAAGGAGGGTCACTGCTGGGGGCCATGCCCCACAGGCCGTCTTCACAGCCCACGGCTCTCTGCTAAGACCTCAGCAGGCTCTGCCTTCAGAGCTGAGGCCCTCAGCCCACCTTGCAGCCTAGAAAGGCCCGAGGTTCAGCACATTGGACAGGGAGCTGCCAGGCCCGAGTAGGGATGTGGCTGTTTGGCACCCATAGGCCACATGCAGACCTTCCCTGTGGAGAGCGGGCAGCGGCCACCCACGCTGATCACCCACACTGACCACACGCAGACCTTCCCTGTGGAAGTAGGCAGCGGCCACCCACGCTGGTCACCTACGCTGACCACACGCAGACCTTCCCTGTGGAGAGCGGGCAGCGGCCACCCACGCTGGTCACCCACGCTGACCACACGGAGACCTTCCTTCCCTGTGGAGAGCGAGCAGCAACAACCCACACTGACCACACGCAGACCTTCCCTGTGGAGAGCGGGCAGCGGCCGCCCACGCTGATCACCCACACTGACCACACGCAGACCTTCCCTGTGGAAGTAGGCAGTGGCCACGCTGACCACACACAGACTTACCCTGTGGAAGTAGGCAGCAACAACCCACGCTGACCACACAGACCTTCCCTGTGGAGAGCAGGCAGCAACAACCCACACTGACCACACGCAGACCTTCCCTGTGGAAGTAGGCAGTGGCCACACTGACCACACACAGACTTTCCCTGTGGAAGTAGGCAGCAACAACCCACACTGACCACACGCAGACCTTCCCTGTGGAAGTAGGCAGTGGCCATGCTGACCACACACAGACTTTCCCTGTGGAAGTAGGCAGCAACAACCCACACTGACCACACGCAGACCTTCCCTGTGGAAGTAGGCAGTGGCCATGCTGACCACACACAGACTTTCCCTGTGGAAGTAGGCAGTAACAACCCACACTGACCACACGCAGACCTTCCCTGTGGAGAGCAGGCAGCAACAACCCACACTGACCACACGCAGACCTTCCCTGTGGAAGTAGGCAGTGGCCACACTGACCACACGCAGACCTTCCCTGTGGAAGTAGGCAGTGGCCACACTGACCACACGCAGACCTTCCCTGTGGAGAGCGGACAGCGGCCACCCACGCTGTTCACCCACGCTAACCACACGCAGACCTCTGTGGAGAGTGGGCAGTGGCCACCCACGCTGGCTGGACCCCCACCAAAAGATGAGCTGGCCATCTGGCCCTAGGTGCCTGGCAAGACTTGGTGTGTCTAGCGCCAAAGAGGAAGGTGCCTGGGGAGAGGCTGTGGGGCAGGGGGCCGCCCATCTGCTCCTGCCCAGGTCCAGTCAGGGCATGCGTACCAGAGGCTCCATCCTGTCTTGGAGGGGGTTGATGGGACTGCAAGGTTGCTCCCAGTTTTAACAGCGGCCTGGTTCTGACCCTAGGGCTTCTACTTGGGGCACTGCAAGGACTCGCCAGCCTGCTGACCTGGCACAGCCCCAAAGGGAAGCCTGCGCGCACAGGCCGGCACAGCCCCCACCAGGCGCGGCCCCTTTAAGTGCCTCCCCCTGGCCGCCATTGGGGGCAGCACTGAGGCAGCAGGCCAGCATCCGCGCTGCTGCCTTGAAGCTTCTGCCGGTGTGGGGGAGCGAGCGCACCGGAGACGCGGTGGAGCTGGCCTGGGGTTCACAGCCCACCCCGGTTTTGCTGGGGGAGCAACACCCAGGTAAGAGGCCAAGCCGACGTGGCCTGCGAGCTGTGGCTGTCACGGGCTGAGGCTGTGCAGAAGGATGGGGAGTCCCCACCCCCAGCAACGCAGACCGGGTCCTTGGATGGCGGCTCCCGGGCAGGGCAAACGCGGGCCGCAAGGCGGGGAGGACTGCCTGGCCACTCACGTGGGCTCGGAAAGACCTAGGGTCCCAGAGCGGCCCGGCCCCACCCCCAGCCTCTAGGACAGGGGGTGCCACGGGGCCGGGCTATCAGGCCTGATAGCCGCAGCAGCAGCCAGCCAGGCAGCCGCCACCTCCCTGGGGCGGAGCCTCGGACTCCCCACCTGGCCTTGAGCTTAGAATAAAGAGGGTCCGGCTGGGATGGGCATGAGGCCAGGATGGGGTCAAGGACTGGAACCTGGTGCCTGACCCCCCCCCCCCAAACCAGCCCTGCCAGCAATGCCTCTGAGCTGGGGGTTGACCCTGAGAGGCTGGTCCATGCAGGCCCAGGGGACAGGGCTCACGGCAGCCCCAGCACCTTCCCCCCCCTTCCCCCCCCTATCCTAGAGCAGTGCTGGTGAAGAGGGGGAGGGGAGCTGGCACCACCCTCTGACTCCCTCCCCACCAGCCCAGCCCCAGGGAATGAAGCAAGCGCTGGTGGTGGCCCACATCTGAACGTGAGCGGCAGCTCGGGGGCTGAAGAACCGCAGGTTTCCATGGATCCCCACGGGATGCAGCACAGAGAGGGCCCTCTTCCGGGAGGCGTGGGGGGCTTTACCCACCTCCACCAACCTCCCCTCGCTGGCAGCCTCCTCTCTGATGTGCTAGTGCTCAGCCCCGGGACAGGGGCGTCCTGAGCATCTAGTTCCAACAACGTCCCCCGTGGGTCCTGCCCACGGCTGCTCCGAGAACACGGCCCGGGGGATGGGTCCAGGCCATGCCTGTGCAAAGCCAGTGAGGGCGGTCCGCAAGCTTACCTGCCGCCCGGCTTGGTGCTTTCAGTCACCCCAGGAAAGCTGGGTTCTCGGTTTCTGCAAAAGGAAGAGAGCTTTAGGGGCATTTGGCCAGGGCCGTGCCAGTCGAGGGGACGCCGGGTTGGACACAACCGCCCCGCATGCCGGGGCCCTGGGGAGGGGAGGGCAGGGCTCGGCCCCTTCAGCAGGTGCAGTGTCTCCGCGCAGATCTGCCTGGCCCGGACTCGCCTCCGACTCTGCACGGTCAGCGAGGTCCCTGCGGTGGTCCCCGAAAGGAATACTGGCCCCCAAAAGCGGGCCCGGCGTTCCAGCTGCGGGCACCAGAGGGCACTAGTCCTAGGACCACGTCCCCACTCGGCCACCCACGGGCCGTGCCTGTCAGGAGCGGTCACCTGCCTGCCCCGCCGTCCCGGGTGCGGGGAGGCCCCGCGGGCGCGGGGAGGCGGGCCCCGCACCTGCACCGCCAGCCAAGCTCTCCGGGCGCACCCGCCCGCCGGCTGGACATGGAGCCGGGCCCCCGCGGGGCCGGCAGCCGCGGCGGCTCCGCGCTCGGCGCCCCAGGTAAGCCAAAGCGCGGGCCGGGGGCGAGGGGCGCGGGGCCCGGGCCGCACAGGGCGGCCCTCACCGGCGCCCTCCGCTCCGCTGCAGGGCAGACGCCCCGCCAGGCCCAGTGACCGGAGCCGCCAGCCTGGGGACGCCGTCTAAGATGACCCGCACGGACCCGCCCGACCTGCTGGTGTCGACCGTGTACCAGGACATCAAGGTGGCGGCCCCGGGGCCCGCGTCCGGGGGCCAGCCATGTGAGCCGCCCGCGGCCCGGCCCGCCGCGCCCGCGCCTTTCAACAAGCGCCACTGCCGCAGCTTCGACTTCCTGGAGGCGCTGGACGGGCCCGCCATGGAGGCCCGAGCCGAGGCCCGCGCCGCGCCGCCGCCCCCCGAGCCAGCCCCGCCGCGCGCCCGGACCCGCGACGCCGAGCCGCGGCGCCGCGCCCGCTCCAAGAGCGCGCCCCGCGCGCCCTCGGGCCTGGCGCCCGCGCCCGCGTCCCCGCCGGGCCCGCCGCGCCGAGGACGCGAGGCCCGGCGTGCGGCGCGGGCCGAGGGTTCGCCGCGCCGGGAGCCCGCGTACCCCGCGCTGCGCGCGCTCGCCAACGAGCTGCACCCCATCAAGCTGCAGCCGCAGCGCGGCGGGCCCGGCGGCGTCGCGCCGCTGTGCGCCGTCCCCGGCCGCTGCGCGCCGCCCGAGCCGCCCCCGGGGCCCGCCCCGCACGTGCGCTGCCGCCTGGACATCAAGCCCGACGACGCGGTGCTGCGGCACGCCGCCCGGGGCTCGCGGCCCTGCGGCCCCGCCGACGCCGCGCCCTGGGCCCGCGCCGCCCCGCAGCTCTACGGCCTCACGGTGCCCGGGCCCCGCCACGCCGCCCTGTCCCGCACTCCCACCCCCAGCGACCTGTACTGCGCGGACCCCCGGGCGCTGTACTGCGACGGGCCCCTGCCCGCGCCCCGGGACCAGCCCTTCGCCGCGCCCCCGGGCCCCACCCGCTTCTTCTACACCGAGGAGCCCGAGGCCTACGCGGGCGGCTTCGCGGCCAGCCCGGGGCCTCCCTTCGACGGCTACGGGTCCAGGCCCTACCCGTACGAGGAGCGCCTGGGGCCCAGCCCCCGGCGTGCGGGCGGCTACTACCCCGGGGACGCGCGCACCTTCCCCGTGCACGAGCCGCCCGCACGCGCCTACTCCGGGGAGGCCCCCCGCGCCTGCGGCCCGCTCTGGGGCGCCCGCTACGGCCCCGAGGAGGCCTGGGCCCGGCCCGGCGCCCGCCCCTTCTACACCGAGGACTTCGGGCGGTACCGCGAGCGCGACTCCATGGCTCGGACTTACCCGCACCAGCGCGGCAGCACCGCCTGGGCCGACTGGGGGCCGCGGCCCTACCGCACCCTGCAGGTGGCGCCTCCCCCGGGTCCCGGTCCCGGCCCCGGCCCGCTGCTGGCCTCGTGGCACGGCGGCACGGGGACCAGCCCACCGCGGCTGGCCACCGACAGCCGCCATTACTCGCGGTCCTGGGACAACATCCTGGCGCCGGGGCCGCGCCGGGAGGACCCCCTGGGCCGCGGCCGCAGCTACGAGAACCTGCTGGGGCGGGAGGCGCGGGAGCCCCCCGAGGCGCGGCGCCCGCCGGTCGTGGTGAACCTGTCCACCTCGCCCCGACGCTACGCGGCGCTGTCGCTGTCCGAGACCTCGCTGTCGGACAAGGGCCGCGCCGGCGACGGCCTGGGCCGCAACTGGTACGTGACCCCGGAGATCACCATCACCGATAACGACCTGCGCGCAGCCCGGCGCCCGGCCGCCCGGGGCTGGGAGCCGCCCGCGCCCGCGCCCGCCAGCCGCCAGCGCAGCCTGGAGCAGCTGGACGAGCTCATCACCGACCTGGTCATCGACTCGCGCCCCGCGGCCGGCCGCGGAGCCCTCGGCCCCGAGCCCTCGGCCGACGGCCTGGGCCGCCGGCTGCGCCGCCTGCTAGACTCCCAGGCCCCGGGCCCCGGCGCGGGAGCGCGCTCGTCCCCGGCCTCGGCCGGCAGCGCCGAGGAGCCCGCGGGCCCTGCGGAGGCGACGGACGGGTCCCCCGAACCCAGCGCGGACGAGGACGACCTGATGACCTGCTCCAACGCGCGCTGCCGGCGCACCGAGACCATGTTCAACGCCTGCCTCTACTTCAAGTCCTGCCACAGCTGCTACACCTTCTACTGCTCGCGCCTGTGCCGCCGCCAGGACTGGGACGCGCACAAGGCGCGCTGCGTGTACGGCCGCGTGGGCAGCGCCTGCCGCCACGTGCTGCAGTTCTGCCGCGACAGCGGCCCCGTGCACCGCGCCTTCTCCCGCATCGCGCGCGTCGGCTTCCTGTCCCGCGGCCGCGGCGTGCTGTTCCTGGGCTTCCCGAGCCCGGGCTCGGCCGACAACTTCCTGCGCTTCGGCCTCGAGGGGCTGCTGCTGTCGCCCACCTACCTGTCCCTGCGCGAGCTGGCGGCGCACGCCGAGCCCCTGGGCAGCTACGCCCGGGAGCTGGCGGCCGCCGGGCGGCAGTACGAGCCGGCCGAGTGCTTCCTGCTCAGCGTGTCGGTGGCCGTGGGCCCCGGCGCCGCGCCCCCCGGCACCCCCGCCCGGCCCGCGCCGCGCAGCCCCGGCCCCACGGTGCGCAAGTTCGCCAAGGTGGCGCTGGCGGCCAGCAGCCCCGCGCGGCCGCCCCCGGCGCGGGGACGCGAGCCAGATATGGAGACGCTGATCCTGACGCCGCCGCCCGGCACCGCGGGCCTGGACCAGGAGGGCGAGGCCGGCCGGCGCGCGCGGGAGGTGGCCTTCATCCACATCCAGCGCGAGCTGCGGCTGCGCGGCGTCTTCCTGCGCCACGAATTCCCGCGCGTCTACGAGCAGCTCTGCGAGTTCGTGGAGGACAACCGGCGCTTCACGCCCACCACCATCTACCCCACCGACCGGCGCACCGGGCGCCCCTTCATGTGCATGATCATGGCCGCCTCCGAGCCGCGCGCGCTCGACTGGGTGGCCAGCGCCAACCTGCTGGACGACATCATGTGAGCCGCGGCCGTCGGGGCCCGGGCCGGCCTGCCGAGGCCCGCCCCGCCCGCCGGGGGGCCCCGAGCCCGCTTCCTCCGAACCCCGTAGGCCTTCCCGGGGTCTGGGCCCAGCCCTGCCCTCCGCGGCGGTCCCCACCGGCCTCGCCCCTTCCACCTCCGGGGCTCCCGGAGGCCGGTCCTCGCCCTCGGTGCTCCCCGCTGGGAGGCGGGGTGGGCCAGAGGACCGGGCGCTGCCTTCCCGCGGAGGGTCCCACCGCGCACGCCCCGTCCCCGTCCGTCGCGGGCTCGCTGGAGCCTTCTCAGCCCCGTTCCCTCCCCGCCCCGCCGGAGTCTGTGCGGACCGGCTGGTGTCCGCGCCCAGGACGCCCCCAGCCCCGCTGTGCCCGCGCGGAGGCCTTCCTCTCCGACCGGCCGCTGCCCTCGGCCCCCTCCGGAGCGGTGGGCAGGGCGCCGGCGCGGGGGCAGCGGGCGCCGCGTGCCCTGGAGGAGCTGGGGATAACGCAGGGGTGGCGGAGCCAGCGGGCGGCGTGGGCAGCGAGGCCGGAAGCGTGCGCCCAGAGGGGACCGGCGGCCGGCCGCGGGGAGGGCACCTGCCCGGCGGAGTTGGGAGAACGCGACAGCAGCGGGTGGGAGCGGGGGCCGGGCGCCCGGGGCTCGGCCGGGGCCCTCGGACCGCACCCAAGCCCCGGCGCGCAGCCCCGGCCACGCCCCGAGCTGCGGGCTGGAGGCGCCAGCCGGCTAGGCCACGGAGAGCGCCCCGCGCGCGAGAACCGGGCGCCTGCCCGCCCTCACCCGGGCCTCCGCTCTCCGCCGCGCTGCGGGCCCGCACGGACGCCCAGCCCCGGGGGCCTCCCCAGAGCGCGAACGCTTTCGCACCAAGTAAAATAGAACTTGAACGTAGCTGCTGCGGCTGCCTCTTTATTGGGGATCGCGGAAGATTGGGGCGCGGGGAACGAGGCCGGGGAGCCCGGAACGGGGGTGAGGGCGGCGCGCGTCGGCGTCGTCCCCCGTCCGTCACCGCCGGCCTCCGTCACCGCGCCTGCGGTGCCCGCCCCCGGCGCCACGGCGGAACTGGGCCGTTGGTGGATTTAATCGCCACCGACTATGTACTCCGCGTCCCCTTTAAGCGGATCGCCGTGGTCCCAAGGCCACAATGAGCTAGGTTGCAATTGGCCAGTCCGTGCCGTAGGGAGGCGTTACAATTGGTGGAGGCGCTGAGCCTCGGTAAGCATCTCCCCGCGTGATTGGCCGACGCTGCCGTAGAGCCCGCCTCCACCATGCGGATCCGGCTGGGTAAGGGGCCGTGAGACCCAGAGGCCGGGTGCGCCCGGGAACATGGCGGCGGAGGGCCTCGCTGAGATTCCTGATGTGGATATAGATCCCGAGGGCGTCTTCAAGTACGTGCTGATTCGAGTCCACTCGAGGCCGCCCTCCGGGGCTCCGGGCGAGGACAGCAAGGAAATCGTGCGCGGCTACAAGTGGGCCGAGTACCACGGTGAGGGCGGGGCCTCGGCGGGGGCGGGGTCAGGACCGGGCGGGGCCTCGGTGAGGGCGGGGCCTCGGCGAGGGCGGGGCCGGGCGGGGCCTCGGCGGGGGCGGGGTCCGGGCTGGGCGGGGCCTCGGTGGGGGCGGGGCCGGGCGGGGCCTCGGCGGGGGCGGGGCCTCGGCGGGGTCCGGGCTGGGCGGGGCCTCGGCGGGGGCGGGGTCCGGCCTGGAGACTGAGCTAGGTGCTAGTGGGCGGTGTCTTGTACCAGACCCTTGCCAGGCCTGCCTGGAGAAGCCAGGCTCTGGACAGCGGGGGCATCTGGGGTGAGGCCTGACTGACTCCCTGTCTGGACCTCTGCCCGCTCTTAGCACCCTTTGCCGGTGCCTGTGCCAGTCTGAAGATGCTTCCTCTCCACCAGGGGCGCGGCTGCTCCTAGCGGGGGTTGCAGACCTCGAGTCCGCTCTCCTAGGTGGCCCCCAGGTCCCCCAGCCCCCCAGGCCTCCCAGGGCGCTGCTTGAGGTCATTCTTCCCATTCTAGCCGATATTTATGACAAAGTATGTGGCGAGCTGCAGAAGGAGGGTTATGACTGCGAGTGTCTGGGCGGAGGCCGCATCTCCCACCAGAGCCAGGACAAGAAGATCCACGTGTATGGCTACTCCATGGTGAGGCGCCCGTCCTGCCTGTCACGCCGGCACTCTCGACCTACCCCTGACCCCAGCCCTGACCCCACAGAGAGGCCGCCCCTGGGTGTCAAGGGCTGTGAACTCCCTCACCTCTCCCTGTTGCCTCAGAGCCCTGGACAGGTCAGCTGCCTTGGGCTGCGCTCTCTCCTTGTTGCAGAGGCCCGGTGGGTCTCACTGCTGCCTCTTTGGGCTCTTGGCCCAGTGCTGTGGCTGAACTTAAGCCCTGACCCTCTCATCATGACCCCCGGTGCCTCAGGGCACCTGCGGAGCCCTTCGGTCCTCAGGTCCCCAGGGTGGTGGCTTTGGCCCCCTTCCCAGGCCTGTTCTTGAAGTGTTGCTGGGTGGACTCCCAATGTGAAGGGCAAAGCCAACCGGTGGCCTCTGCGTTCTAGGGCTATGGTCGTGCCCAGCACTCTGTCTCTACGGAGAAGATCAAATCCAAGTATCCTGACTACGAGGTCACATGGGCGGATGATGGCTACTGATGCCCTGTCAGCAGCCAGGTCGGGACTCTGCTCTTTCTGAGGCCCCGCCCGAGGGGCCAGCCCCACCCCTCCCTTCACCCGCTGGTGACAGGCCACCTTGCCACACCTCAGACCAGCCTGGCCCACAGGAATTAAAAGCGTTGATGTGCCAGTCTCTGACTGTGTCCTGGCTTTCTCTCCTAGGTCACCCCCTAGGGCTGCTCTCTGCCTGTGGGGGGGCCCAGGGCTTGGTGATGCACACTCAGCCTCTTGGGTCTGATAAGGGGCCCTGCCTGCCGCTGTTTATGGCCTGATTACCCCTGCCCAGACCTGCTCTCCCCAAGGACATCTGGGAAGGAGGCCCCATGAGGCCTTGCACACGGAGTCAGCCCCTCCCGGCCAGCCAAGACCTGGGTGCCCGCCGTGTCCCCTTCTGGAGATCACCTTTTGTTCCCATTAGCAAGGGGTGCTGGTGACCACGGTCCTGGCCAGCTGACCATGGCCACTACACAGTCCACAGTGCTCCTGCCTGGTCTGCCAGCCAGGCACACATGTGACATGATGCAGTCCCAGTCATGGCTTCCAGAACAGGTTCCCTGCCTGCCCCAGCCACAGAGGCCCCTGACCCTCCATTACCCCGTGAGCCTCAGCCTCCACCCCAGCCACAGAGGCCCCTGACCCTCCATTACCCCGTGAGCCTCAGCCTCTGCCCCAGCCACAGAGGCCCCTGACCCTCCATTACCCCGTGAGCCTCAGCCTCTGCCCCAGCCACAGAGGTCTCCTGACCCTCCATTACCCCGTGAGCCTCAGCCTCCACCCCAGCCACAGAGGCCCCCTGACCCTCCATTACCCCGTGAGCCTCAGCCTCTGCCCCAGCCACGGAGGTCTCCTGACCCTCCATTACCCCGTGAGCCTCAGCCTCCGCCCCAGCCCCACCTCCACCTCCTTCTGTACAGGACGGGGTGGGGACAAACTCAGCTCCACTCAGCTGGCGGGATGCAGGGGGCCCTGGTGATGGTTCTGGGAGAGCCAGGGTCCCAGGCTACTGGGACTCACAGCACCCTCACCACACAGGCCAGACTGTCTGCTCTCTGGATGGTCAGTACTGAGATGTAGTACCATCTGCTCTCTGGGTGGTTAGTACTGAGATATACCATCTGCATTCCAGGTGGTTAGTATCAAGACGTGGTACTGCCTACTCTCCAGGTGGTTAGTGCTGAGACATGGTAGTCTGCCCGCTGGGTGGTTAGTACTAAGATGTAGTACTCTCTCAGGGTGGTTAGTACTGAGATCTGTTACAGTCTGCTCTCTGGGTGGTTAGTACTGAGATGTAGTACCATCTGCTCTCAGGGTAGTTAGTACTAAGATGTACAGTCTGCTCTCTGGGTGGTTAGTACTGAGATGTGTTACTGTCTGCCCTCTGAGTAGTTAGTACTGAGACATGGTACGGTATGCTCTCTAGGTAGTTAGTACTGAGCCGTGGTACAGTCTGCCCTCTGTGTGGTTAGTACTGAGATATGATACCATCTGCTGTCTGGGTGGTTAGTACTGAGATGTGGTACCGTCTGCTGTCTGGGTGGTTAGTACCAAGACATGGTACAGTCCACTCTCTGGGTGGTTACTTCTGAGACCTGTCCTCCTGATGAGCCTCCATCCTGACTGGGTCTTTTCCTCAAGAACCAGAAGTTTCTGTGCTCTCCAAACTGGGCGCCTGTGAAGGTGGGGTGCAGGGGGACGCTCCGGGGTGGCCGCGAGTTGGTCTGGGATGGAGAGCACAGGGCTGGCTGTGCACACTGCCTCCACCCCCATGGCCTGCATAGGGTAGGGGAGGCTGGAGACCCCACGAGGAGCCACCGTGGCTTCCACCACCCCCATCCTGCTTCGCAGAGCCCTCCAGGCTCCAGTGGGGTTGCTGGGCGGTGTGCGGGATGGCCAAGGCCTGACCTTTGGTCGGGCAGGTGAGTGCTGAGCCCTCCGGGGGGGCCCCTGGGACACATTTACAACCGGACGCCCAGGCTATCAGCAGCAGGTGGGGCCCAGCCCAGGGCTATACAGAGGAAGGACAGAGCCCACTCCAGTGAGACCCACGTCAGCCTGCAGAGCCATGCGCCTCGCCACTTACCTCCCACCTGTCCTGGTCCTGCTTTTCGGTGAGTCCACTGCTAGCTGGGTACCAGTTGTAGACACTGGGGCAGATGTAGGACCCCCCGCCCTGCCCCCCAGAAGGAAGGCCTGTGAGGCACATCCAGGACAAGCCCCGGGCCAGGAACTATGCAGTCACAGTAGACTCTGCCCGGCTGTCCAGGCCTCCAGCTGCCCCTCTTGCAGGGGGGTTGGACCTCTACCACTGTGAAAGCCCCTCCATTTCACTGCTGGGCGGCATGAAGTCCTGTGCCTTCCCTCCGGTGTTCACTGCGCGTGCCCACCCTGCCTGGCCTGGGGTCGGCCGTGGGGCTGGGTGCGGTGCCTGGGGTACTATAGGAGTCCTCCACCCACTCGGCTGCTCTTCTACCAGCAGGGGGGTCCCCAGGCCAGGGGGTGCCTGGCCGCTGCAGGAGCCCCAGTGAGGCTGTGTGCAACTTCGCGTGTGACTGCTTGGGCTGCTCAGATGAGGCGTGGTGTGGTGAGCAGGGCCCGGAGGGCGTGGGCAGCGTGCGCGCTGGGGACACACGCTGACCGCCCGCTCCCCCAGGCTACCACGGGGCCCCTCTTCAGGGCGCGCCCTTCAGCTGCGACTTTGAGCAGGACTCTTGCGGCTGGCGGGACATTAGCACCTCGGGCTACCGCTGGCTCCGAGACCGAGCAGGAGCGGTGCTGGCGGGCCGGGGGCCGCACGCTGACCACACCCGTGGCACGGATCTGGGTAGGCTGGGGAGAGCAGCCGGACCCCCCCCCCCCCACGCTGGTGCTGGTGCTGGCGCTGGTGGGCGAGCTCCGACTTCTCACCTGGGCCAGGCTGGTACATGGCCGTGGGAACCCACCCCGGGAAGGAGGCATCCACCGCCGCCCTGCGCTCCCCGGTCCTGCGCCAGGCAGCCCCCGCCTGCGAGCTGAGGCTCTGGTACCTCACAGCCTCAGGAGGTGCGTGCAGGGCCCAGAGGCCCTGGAAAGGGGCAGCCCCGGGACGGGAGGCCAGGAGGGAGCTGGGGCGCGGCTGGAAGGCGGAGGGGACACTGGTCGTCCGCCGTGCCGTAGGTGTGTCTGAGCTGCGGCTGGAGCTGACCCACGGTACAGAGACCCTCACCCTGTGGCAGAGCTCAGGGCCCTGGCGCCCCAGCTGGCAGGAGCTGGCTGTGACCACTGGCCGCATCCAGGGCGACTTCCGAGTGAGCCGGGGCTGGCCGGCCGGGCATTGGGGGTGGGGAGGTCGAGGCCCCGACCGAGGTCTTGAGAGCCACCCTCTCTGCAGGTGACCTTCTCTGCCACCCGAAATGCCACCCACAGAGGCACAGTGGCCCTGGATGACGTGGCGTTCTGGAACTGTGCGCTGCCCAGTAAGGCCCCCCGCCCATAGGTCCCGACCCTCGGGCGTCCAGGGGTTCCCTCCCCGGCTCAGACGGCCCCCCACCTCCCCACCCCAGGCCCCCAGGCCAGCTGCCCCCCGGGGCACCACCACTGCCGGAACGGGGCCTGCGTGGCGCCCGACGGCGTGTGTGACGGCGAGGACGGCTGTGGGGACAGCTCTGAGGAGGACCCCGCCATCTGCAGTGAGGCCGGGCCGCCCAGGGGCTGGGAGGCGGGGCCGTCCTCGGGGTCTTCGCAGAACTCGGGGGGCTTGTCCGGGAGGGTGTGCCTCAGTGTGCTCCCGCTGCGGCCGGGCGCCCGCTCAGCAGCCCCGACCGCCCTGCCCCATCTTAGGCCACCTCATGGCCACTGACTTTGAGACCGGCCTGGGCCTGTGGAGCCGCTCGGAGGGCTGGACCCGGAACCACAGTGCTGGTGGCCCGCAGAGCCTGGCCTGGCCGCTCCGGGACCACAGCCAGAACAGCGCACACGGTGAGCACCCCAGGGTCCTGGCAGGCCCATCCTCTGCCCACTTCCCTCAGCAAGCCCGGCCGACCCCTCCCCCCACCCCCGCCCCACTCTCCCCAGGCACCTTCCTGGCCTCTGTGGCCAAGCCAGGCACCCCTGCCATCCTGTCCAGCCCGGTGCTCCAAGCCTCAGACCCCTACAACTGCTCGGTGAGGCGGTGAGGCGGACAGGGTCACCCCTCGGGCTGCTTGGGGCTGGGACCCTCCAGGTCACCCTTGGCATCCCTTCCAGCTCATCTTCTATTACTACCTGCACGGGTCCGAGGCTGGCCACCTCCAGCTGCTCCTGCAGACCCGAGGGCCGGGCGCCCCGCAGGCTCCCAGCCCCCTGCGAAGACGGCACGGGGAGCTGGGGGCAGCCTGGGTCCGAGACCGGGTCGATATCTGGAGCACCCACCCCTTCCAGGTGAACGTGTCAAGCAGTGACAGGGACAGGGCCACCGAGGGTTGTGGCCTGGGAGCCCCGCTTAGAGCAGAAGAGGGGGTCCCGGGCCCTCTTGAGGTGCCCTTTGGGGGAGACTGGAAGCAGTGTCCAGCGATTCACAGGGACAATGGGTGGATGTATTAAGGATGTATTAGCAGCCCCTCACCTCCCCCCACCCCCCCGCCACCAGATCCTCCTGGCTGGGGAGACGGGCCCAGGGGGCGTCGTGGGCCTGGATGACCTCATCCTGTCCAGCCACTGCAGAGCAGCACCAGGTGACCTGCCCAAGCCCAGCTCGCCGCCCTGCTCAGGGAAAGCACCGGGCCCTGGCCTGAGCCCCGCCCTCCTCCACAGAGACGTCTGTCCCGCAGCTGCCCGAGCCCTGGGCCCTGGCTCCAGCCCCCCAGCCCCCCTGGGCACGGGCCCAGGGCTGCGAGCCGGGGCACCTCCCCTGCCAGGACCTGTGTGTGCCCCCAGAGCAGCTGTGCGACTTCCAGCCGCAGTGCGCCGAGGGCGAGGATGAGCAGGAGTGTGGTGAGCCCGGCCCGGGAGACCCCTGTCCAGAGGGCCAGGACCCTCGCTGCCCCTCAGCACAGCTGCCCTGAGCCCGGCCTGGGAGACCCCTGTCCAGAGGGCCAGGACCCTCGCTGCCCCTCAGCACAGCTGCCCTGAGCCCGGCCTGGGAGACCCCTGTCCAGAGGCCAGGACCCTCGCTGCCCCTCAGCACAGCTGCCCTGAGCCCGGCCTGGGAGACCCCTGTCCAGAGGCCAGGACCCTCGCTGCCCCTCAGCACAGCTGCCTCCGCAGGCTCCACTGACTTTGAGCTGGCCTCGGCTGGAGGCTGGGAGGACGCCAGCGTGGGCCCACTGCAGTGGCGGCGGCTCCCAGCCCAGGCGCACAGAGACGCGCACAGCACTGCAGCGGGTAAGGCCCAGACCACCCCGCAGGAGAGGGTCCTGGGCCGTGGGGGGCCCCTGCAAGAAACAGCGCTGACCTCCCCTCCCCTCAGGGCACTTCCTGTCTCTCGAGAAGGCTTGGGGGCAGCTGAAGGCAGAGGCCCGGGCCCGCACGCCCGCCCTGGGCCCCTCCGGCCCCCACTGTGAGCTCCACATGGCTTACTATTTTCACGGCCACCCCCGAGGTACCACCCACCCGCCACCCTGCCTCAGTGAGTCCCTGCGTGGAAGGGGTGGGAAGAAGCCCACCCCCGTTGTGCTTACCAGGCTTCTTGGCGCTCATGGTGGTGGAGGGTGGCTTCCGGGAGCTGGTGTGGCAGGCCCCAGGCAGCAGCTCTGGGAGCTGGACAGTGGACAGGGTCCTCCTGGGAGCACGACACCGGCCCTTCCGGGTGAGGAGCGAAGCCCTGGCTGGGGGGGGGGGGGGGGGTGGGAGGGGGGCCTTCACAGAGCTGGCCCTGACTTACATTGTTCTCTACCTGCCTGAAGCTGGAGTTTGTTGGTTTGCTGGACTTGGACGGCCCTGGACAGCAGGGGGCTGGAGTGGACAACGTGACCCTGAGGGACTGCAGCCCCACAGTGACCACCGGGAAAGACCAAGGTCCCTGCGGAGCTCACCCCCCCCCCGGGACGTCAGAGCAGGGGAGGGTGATGGTGGAGGGGGGCTGACCCTACCACCCTTCCAGAGGTCTCCTGTAACTTCGAGCGGGATGCATGTACCTGGCACACGGGCCACCTCACGGATGCCCATTGGCGCCGGGTAGAGAGCCATGGCCCTGGATACGATCACACCACTGGACGAGGTATGTGGGCCTCCGGACCCCGGGGGACACCTTGCCTGAGGGGGCTTCTAGACTGGGGTCCTGCACACACAGGGATGACCGCAAACCCAGGGGTCATTCAGACGCAGGAGACCCCAGACCCTGGAGGCCCTTGAATTTGGGGGAGAGGCCTCAGATGCAGAGGACCTGCCAGACTGGTGGGTCACCCCAAGCCTCTAGGGCCCTGGGCTTAGGGGGCCTCAAACACAGAGGTTCCCAGGCCAGGGGCTGGGGGAGCTCAGACTTGGAGGCGCATCTCTACAGCTCAGCCGTGTCCCCCCTCAGGCTTTTACATGCTCCTGAACCCCACAGACCCTCCTGCCCAGGGCCAAGGAGCCCACTTGCTCACAGGCCCGCAGGTGCCGGCGGCCCCCGAGGAGTGCCTCAGCTTCTGGTACCACCTGTACGGACCCCAGATCGGTGAGCACCCTGGAGCTCACAGCTGTGCTGCCTGGGTCTGAGACGTGTTGGGGGCTCCGCTGGGGCCCCGGTCCCCTCCAATCCCACCTCCCTGCAGGGACATTACGGCTGGCCCTGAGGAGGGACGGGGAGCAGGACACGCGGCTGTGGTCGCGCTCGGGCACCCACGGTAACCGCTGGCGCCAGGCCTGGGCGACCCTCCACCACCAGCCTGGGCCGAGTACCAAGTACCAGGTAAGCCCGACACCAGGCAGAGGGGCGCGGGGCAGCCCCAGCCAGCTGACACCCGTCGCCTCCAGCTGCTGTTTGAGGGCCTCCGGGACGGGTACCACGGCACCATGGCCCTGGACGACGTGACTGTGAGGCCCGGCCCCTGCTGGGCTCCCCGGAGCTGCTCCTTTGAGGACTCGGCCTGTGGCTTCTCCAGTGGGGGCCAGGGCCTATGGACGCGCCAGGCCCACGTCACAGGCCACGTCCCCTGGGGCCCATGGGCAGACCACACCACCGAGACAGCCCAAGGTATTGGGCGTGGTACCACCTGGCACAGGCAGAGGGTGAGGGCTGGCCAGGGCGGGCAGGCTGACGCTGGTCCTCCCAGGGCACTACATGGTGGTAGACACCAGCCCAGGCGCCCTGTCCCAGGGCCAGGTGGCCTCGCTGACCTCAGCGCACCACCCACCGCTGGCCCAACCCAGCTGCCTGACCTTCTGGTACCACCTGAGTCCCCAAAACCCAGGTAAGGGCTGTGGAAGAGGCTCGGTCTGGTGCCCCCCAGGCTGGGGCAGGCCTTGGAAGCCAAGTGGCAGCTCCCGAGTGGCTGACCAGGGTGGGCCTTTGGTGGGCAGGCACGCTGCGGGTCCACGTGGAAGACAGCGAGAGGCGGCAGGTGCTCAGCCTGAGTGCTCACGGGGGGCTGGCCTGGCGCCTGGGCAGCGTGGACATGCAAGCCGAGAAGACCTGGAGGGTGAGTGCCCAGGACCAAAGTGGGGTCCCCACCCTAGGGCTGCCCCGGCGAGGCTGCCAGCTCCCACCACCCCTGCAGGTGGTGTTTGAGGCTGTGGCGGCGGGCGTGGAGCGCTCCTACATGGCTCTGGACGACCTTGCCCTGCACGACGGGCCCTGTGCCCGGCCAGGTGAGGCTGTGGACCCAAGCTCCTGGTCCATGCCCCAGGCTGGCCTGTCCAGGACCGGTGGTGCCAGGGGCTGGGTGGCAGGGACAGCCTGCTCACCAGCCCGCTCCCGGCAGGGTCCTGCAACTTCGAATCTGGCCTGTGTGGCTGGAGCCACTGCGCCCGGGCCAGCCCCGGCAGGTACAGCTGGGACTGGAGCGGCGCGTCCATCCCTTCCCGCTACCCCCAGCCTGCGGTGGACCACACCCTGGGCACACAGGCAGGTGTGCACTGGGCAGAACTGGGAAGGTGGGCTGAGGCCACACTACCACCTGCCCGGCTGGCACACCCACAGCTCCCACTGGGTCACCAGCAGCAGATACAGGGGCCTGGCTCACCTTCTCCTTCATCTCCAGGCCACTTTGCCTTCTTTGAAACCGGGGTGCTGGGCGCTGGGGGCCGGGCGGCCTGGCTGTGCAGCGAGCCACTGCCCGCGACTGCGGCCTCCTGCCTCCGCTTCTGGTACCACATGGGCTTCCCCGAGCACTTCTGTGAGTGGGGTCGGGGCTAAGGGAAGGGGGGTTCCCCGAGCACTCCTGTGAGTGGGGTCGGGGCTAAGGGAAGGGGGTCAGGGCCGAGGGCGGGGCCTCCTCCGAGGGGCCTGACCCACGGGGCTCCGCTGCCAGACAAGGGCGAGCTGAGGGTGCTGCTCAGCAGTGCCCAGGGCCAGCTGGCCGTGTGGGGCGAAGGGGGACGCCTGCGGCAGCAGTGGCTTCAAGTGCAAGTGGAGCTGGCCAGCACCGAAGAGTTCCAGGTGAGGCCCCAGGGGCGCCGCGCCCCATCACCCCAGTTGGCTCCCTTCCTTCTTCCCCTTCCACGCTTCCAGGTCCTCAAAGCATCTTCCTACCTCAGATTGTGTTTGAAGCCACTCTGAGTGGGCAGCCGGCTGAGGGGCCCATTGCCCTCGATGATGTCGAGTACCTGGCCGGGCAGCACTGCCAGCAGCCTACACCTAGCCAAGGTGAGCTCCTGCTGCACATGGCTGGGGGGGGGGGGGGAGGGCAGGATCCCAATCTGCTCTGGTCTACGGTGGTCTGGGTCACCCCCAATGCAGCCTAGGAAGCCAGAGCCGCCGGAACCCCACCTGCCCTCCCCAGTGGCCCTGGCCTGCCTGGGCTGGACCCTCCATGAGGAGCCTCCTCAGCCCCCCCCTTGGCCTGGCCCCTGCCTGTGGGCTCCTGCTTCCTGTGCCTGGACGCACGGCGGGTTGGGGCGGTGCGTGGCGGGGTCTGTGTGCGGGGCGCTTGTGGCTGTTGAACTGAGGAAGGGGTGGACCTAGGTTCCCAGGGCTGCAGCCTGGTACTGACAGGACAGCCCTGCCTTAGCGCCCTCTACAGCTGGGGGTGCCAGACCCCAACATCGGGATGGGGGCCTGGAGTCCCAGCATCACAACCCCTCTGGCCTCCAGGGGACACGACCATGCCAGTGCCGGTGCCAGCTGCGGTAGGCGGCATGCTCTTCTTCCTCTTGTTCCTGGTGTTCCTGGGCCTGGGGGCCCGGCACTGGCTGCAGAGGGGCTGCTACTTTCCAAGGGGCACAGTCGCTGCAGCCCCTGGCTTTGACAACATCCTCTTCAATGCGGTAGGAGCCCCACATGGTGAACCAGAGCCTGCCCCGCCCGCCCCGGGGAGAGGTGCCCTGGACCACTGCGGGGTAAACAGCCCGCCGCCCTGCTCCATCCCACCTGCGGGGGTAACAGAGCTCCCTCCTTCCTCTCAGGATCCAGTCACTCTCCCAGAGTCTGTCACCAGCACCCCGTAGACCACTCCAGACGTGGCCCTGGCCCCCAGCATTTGCCCAGACCTCGGCCAAGAACGTGGACATGGCATCCCCTCAGGCTGGGGCACTCGGTGGGACATGCCACACTTCCGGGGCCCCCTTCCTACGCAGTGACTGCCTACTGGGTAGCTGCTGTACTGTGAATAAACACCAGTGCCCACAGCAGCTCAGCCTGAGGTCAGTGTTGGTGTGCTCTGGCCGGCGGGTGGGTGGCTGGCTGCGAAGGCTCGAGGCCCTGGGGAGCATGCTCGGACGCCCCGCGCTGTGACACACCGGTGGAGAAGGGCCTCCGGTGAGGAAGCAGGCAGACGCCAGCAGACATGGGCCAGGCTGGCACACGGTCCTCGACTTGCTAGCTCGTTTTGCACCCACTGGGGAGGGCCACCTCACAGGGACGGGGATGCTGCAGGCCTGAAGATCTCTGGGCAGGGTGACTTCCCGATGGCCGGTGGTGGCGGTGGAGGAATACCACCCTCCGCCAGAGGCGCCCACACCACTGCTCCCCCAGAAGGTGCCTGGTGCATGTTCCACAAAGGCCCCCACGCCCCGTTCCCCTGACAGAGGCCCTGCCTCCAGGGCTGAAGTCTGCGAGCAGTCCCAGGGCTGTGAGTGGCGACGCGAAGGACCTTGGCAGCCTCCCACTCCCCATGAGGTCACATGACTGGCCCTGGCCTGAGGGTGGTGACACCTGCCCAGAACCAGGTGCGGATCCAGCGATAGGACATCTCCACCGCAGGGTGGCCTGAGGCTCCGGCCCACTGCAGGACACAGGGCGGGGAGGACAGAGACCTCACACCCAGGCAGCCAGGAGTGCCCCTCCTGCCACACCACCTGCTCATGGACACATCTGACCTAAGAGGCGGTGGCCGGCCCCTGCCTGTGCAAGGGCCCAGCCACGCTGGGGGCGCAACACTGGGACACGGCCAAGGTGGCTGTGATGTCCACTGAGCAGAGGATAAAAAGGAGACAGCCCTGCGGAGCCGTTCATCCTCAGCTCCCTTCCCCCGCTGGCCAAGGCGACCTAAAGAACATAGCAGGGCTGCCCGCAGCTCCTCACCAGCAGGAAGGGCACTGACCATGGCCCCTGCCTCCCACAGGAGGTCCCCAGAATTCCCCAAGTCTCGGGCAGACACCTACTGAGGCAAGTTCTCAGCCTCACTCCGGTGCAAGAGACAGGCGGGGAGAAAAGAGTAGGGCTGGTACTTTGCAAGGTTTTGCTTTGTTTGACAGCAGGTATGGGTCAAGGGGGCCCACGGCCCTGCCCCCATGTTCCGCTCCACCACCTGGGAGACCCACAGCAGTGCTGGTGGTCAGGGACCAACCAGAAGAGCTCAGCCGGAACGCACTGGCTTCGAGGCTTTGTGCTCATTTCGCCCGTGGCCCCTTCTCGATGGGCTTTCCGATGTCCTTTCCCCGGAGCTTGAGGCCTGAAACGAGGCGGTGCGTGGCTGAGCCTGGGGCAGCCCACGGGGCCTGCTCAGCAGGCCGCCCCCTCTAGCTCAGTACCAACTCCCTGGGTTCTGAGAGGCCCTCTCAGGCCTCCTGGGGCTGGGAGGCGGGGCACACGCCCTGTTCCTCCACACACACATGACCAGCTTTCCAGTCCAATTTTCAAGAGCAGGAGCTAATGATCTGAGAAGACAGATGAACGCGTAGTCCCAGAAGCACTGGAACACTGAGTCTGGCCACTGTGGAGGGGCATGGCAGGAGCAGAACCCAGCATGTGCGGGAACCCCAAACGCTGCTTTCTTAGGGAAAGCTCTTGGGCAGAATGGACATTGGGCCCTGGTCTCAGTGTCCACCCCAGGAGGGCCTGGCCAAGGCCTTGCAACGGAGCACTCACCAATGGCTCTCTCGATTTTGCCCAGAACCTGGTTATTCGGGATGGCGCGTCCACTCTCATAGTCTGCAATGACTTGGGGCTTTTCATTGATTTTCTGAGGAGAAGAGGCAGCTTTAGCCACGCGGGCCGAGGGAGTGCCTGGGGGAGATGCCCGCAGGATGTGCCTCTGGGGCTCGGGTCTCACCATCAACAGACAGAGCATATCAAGAAGCTGCTGTCTGACCTGGCCCACCCAGAGGTTCTGGTGAGGCCAAAGTGGAGATCCCAAAGCCCCCAGGCGGGTAGTTCCCCCCCCCCCCCCCAGCTCCCCAGGCCGAGCTGCCAGAGCCTCACCGTGGCCAGGTCCTTCTGCGTCAGCCCGTTGCTCTGCCGGCCTCGCTGGATCACCTTGCCCACCTCCAGGGTCACCCTGTCATGGTGCAGCTCCTCTGTCTCCCGGTCTAGCTTGGCTGTGTTCTTGGTGATTGAATGCTGCTTGTTCTGGCCAGCAGCCCCTGAACAGCACAAACAGAGTAGAGGATGTGCAGTTTACACAGGAAAAAATGATTTCAGAATGGTGTCCAAGCCAGGTGCTGATAGCTCACTCCTGTAATCCTAGCCACTCAGGATGCTGAGATCTGAGGTTGCATGGATTGAAGCCAACCTAGGCAGAAAAGTCCATGGGACTCTTATCTCCAATTCATCACCAAACCAGAAGTAGAGCTGTGGCTCAAGTGTAGAGTGCCAGCCTTCAGTGGAAAGAAAACAAGTGAGAGTGTAAAGCTCCGAGTCCAAGTCCCAGTAGCAGAATCAAAATATAACAGAATGGCGTCCAGACCAACAGGCTTTCCCAAGGACGACGGCAGCCACGCTGCCTCAGATCAGAGCTAAGCACACAGTCCTTGCTGCTCTCAGTGGGAGGAAGATAACAGTCCCTAATGACCTCACACTGCACTGGGCTGGAGAGACCATCCACCCTTCCTGGCTGTCAGCAGCTGCAAGCCACTGGCTCCCCAGAGGTCCCTGGCAAACTATCTGGCCACATCTCAGGCATATGACCCCATAACACATTCTTATTTTGCAAGCAGAAACTCAAGTACCTACATTTCTTGGATGTCTCCACATCTTCACCTCGTCTTTGAGCCGCTAAGATGGCCTAGAAAATTAGAAAGAGGTTCAGGAATGTCGGACACACCATTTAGATTACCACTAGCAAATCAGCATGCTCCTAATGTTTCTGAAGGACTGATAGGCAATACTGGGACTAAGAACCTGAGCTCATTCAAGAACCCCCTTAGCCACAGTTTTGGTTACCTGTAGTCAACCAGAAAGAGACAACTCTTGAGTTTTGAACTGTACAGTCTCTGATTGGTGTAATGAACTCTCACCCCATCCCCTCCCTGTCCCACCTGAGGCACGAGCCAGCCCTCTCTCTCCTGTCTCTACTGAATGCGCTACCCGCAGGTTATTACTCAGTCAGCCTGGGCACCAGATCAACTACCACGGAATCAGTGTCACAGCCCTGGTGTTCAAGGAGCCCTGGCCCAATGGACTAAAGCTCTATCACAGCGCCCAAGATTCACAACACTTCATCGTACCCAAGACACTGTATGTTCTCATACCACCACAGAAAGAGTAAAAGAGAGATAACATTCACTTATTTATTTTTAGGTCATGAGGCTTGAACTCAGGACCTGGGCACTGTCCCAGAGCTCTTTTGCTCAAGGCTAGCACTCCACCACTTGAGCCACAGCACCACTTTCAGTTTTCTGGTGGTTAATTGGAGATAAGAATCTCACAGACTTTCCTGCCTGGGCTGGCTTTGAGCCATGATCCTCAGATCTCAGCCTCCTTGAGTAGTTAGGATTACAGGTGTGAGTGATAGTCCCTCCCTTACAGCCATTTCAGCAAGCCTCTCTGTGTTTGCTCACATATCTTCTATTATAGGATATTTCTATAACTGTTTTATTTGATATTAATTATTAATTTGATAATTATTAATATTGTGAATCACTGTTCCTAATTTATACATTCACACACACACACACACACACTCTCTCTCTCTCTCTCACTATCTCTTTCTTTCTCCCCCCAGTATTACTGAGTGGGCACCTCTCCCAGCCACTACCTTGGGCCCGCGTGGCTAAAGTGCTTCTTCTCCTCAGGTATTCACTAGAGAATTGAGGATCTCTCCTAAAGATGGGGGCCCTGGGAAGGTGGCTTAGTGGTAGAGAGCTCGCCTAGCATGCATGAACCCTGGGTTTTCAGTACCACATACAGAGAAAAAGCCAGAAGTGCACTGTGGTTCAAGTGATAGAGTGCTAGCCTTGAGCAAAAGAAGCTCAGGGACAGTTCCCAGGCCCTGAGTTCAAGCCTCAAGACTGGCCAAAAGAAAAGAAAAACATGACAGGATATGGTAGTACATGCATGGGATCCCAGCTTTCAGTAGATGAAAGCAAAGAACAATGACTTCAAGGCTGGCATGAGTTATGTATTAAGTCTCTGTTGAGCCAAGAGCCGGTGGCTCAGGCCTGTGATCCTAGCCACTTAGGAGGCTGAGACCTGAAGATCATGGTTCAAAGCCAGCCTGGGCAGGAAAGTCCACAAGACTCTTATCTCCAATTAGCTATCAAAAAGCCAGAAGTGGAAGTGTGGCTCAAGTGGTAGAGTGCTAGTCTTGAGAAGAAAAAAAAAAGAAGACATATGGGCTGGGTGTGTAGCTCAGTGGAGAGCACTCATGTAGCACATACAAGTCTCCAAGTTCAATCCCAGCACCACAAAATAAAAGGGGGGGAGGGGGAAGAAAAGGCTTCTCTCTACTGCAAAAGCCAAGTGGGAACAGTGTTGGCCTGGCCTGGCCTCCTCCATGCATCTGGCCCTAGTGAGACAGATGACGCATCCCAGGAAAACTGCAGTCTCCCTGGACACAGAGGCACTGATGACAATGAGTAGGGTCTGCAGTTACTGAGCATTAATATCACCTAACGGCCATCTTGTGGCCCTCTGGGGGTTAGCTTGTGAGCCATTCTAAGTGTGATGTGTCCAAAATCCCTTCTACACAGTTCACATGACTCCTAGCTTATGGCTAATTATGTTTCCTCGGGAAGAAAAAGGGAGTAAATTTTATTTTGTCTCTGCAGCTTGACAAGTTCAGGGCTGGTCACAAATAACAGTCACCTGACTTCCACTGTACAGCTGAGGCTTTGGCTGGGGGCTTCCTCAGTCACAAGGGCTCAGAAATGACCCTTGTATGGACCACCCACACTGGTCACCTCCAGCCCTGAGTATCCCTCCTATTACGCAGAAAAGCAAGGTACACCTGCCTGGATAGACTCCAAAGGTG